CGGCAAGCAGCTTGGTGAGAAGGTGACAACAGTTGGTGCGATTATTCACAAAAGACCTGTCAATCTCCCTCGGCCTGGGGCTCCATGCAAGATCTAACCTCGTGGAGTTGCAATAATCATGAGAATGGTGAGGAATCAGCTGGGACCATAGTCACCAAGAAAACAATTGGTAACACACTACGCCGTGAAGGACTGAAATCCTGCAGCGCCCGCAAGGTCCCCCTGCTCAAGAAAGCACATATACAGGCCCGTCTGAAGTTTGACAATGAACATCTGAATGATTCAAAGGAGAACTGGGTGAAAGTGTTGTGGTCAGATGAGACCAAAATGGAGCTCTTTGGCATCAACTCAACTCACTGTGTTTGGAGGAGGAGGAATGCTGCCTATGACCCCAAGAACACCATCCCCACCGTCAAACATGGAGGTGGAAACATTATGCTTTGGGGTGTTTTTCTGCTAAGGGGACAGGACATCTTCACCGCATCAAAGGGATGATGGACGGGGCCATGTACCGTCAAATCTTGGGTGAGAACCTCCTTCCCTCAGCCAGGGCATTGAAAATGGGTCGTGGATGGGTATTCCAGCATGACAATAACCCAAAACAGACGGCCAAGGCAACAAAGGAGTGGCTCAAGAAGAAGCATATTAAGGTCCTGGAGTGGCCTAGCCAGTCTCCAGACCTTAATCCCATAGAAAATCTGTGGAGGGAGCTGAAGGTTCGAGTTGCCAAACGTCAGCCTCGAAACCTTAATGACTTGGAAAAGATCTGCAAAGTCCCACAACTGTCCCAGACTGTGTTTGGAATATTTATTTATTGCACAGAATAGAATAGGTCGACTTTTGTACTATGGGGGATAGTAGATTGACATAGGCTAGTACTTTTGCTGTTCATTAGGCCTACTCATCTTGTTGGCTGACGAAAAGTAAATGTGGACAGTTCTTCCAATATCTTCAATATACACCTCTGAATTGGATAAGGACGCATGCAGTTGCGTCCCCGATGTGTCTGTGTTCACTTGTAGCCTGTGAGAAAGACCCGATCACGTGATGGAGAGCGCGCAGCAAAGCCATGGATTATTTTAGGGTGCATTACGGCCACAAACGGGATGCCGCCGTGAAATTTGAGGCAATATCAAGTGCTTGTCAAATTGTGAATGAGAGACTAATGAAGTGTGTACAGCCTGCGCAAAAAAACAAAGCAGAGCTCATGCCTTTCAAGTGACTTTTTTCAAGTTATCATTAGAGTCGTATCATGCAGCCTAAAAATTTATAAAAAATCTAAACATATAGCCCAACGTTTGTAGAAAAACTAAAGATACATTAATAACTCTAAATTAAGCATATAGGAATAGCCGCATGTGCGCACTCCCTCAAATCGTTTGGAGAAAATATAATTGTTTGTTCAATTGTATACTTCATACTATAAAAAAATATAAAATAATGCCACGGAATTCTAAGCAAATCTTGTCTGCTAAACGAACTAGTGTAGCCCACAGCCATTTGGCATAGCCAGATCAGGACCTAACTTAAGGACAACTCAGAGTATGCTATTCTGTTCTTCTGAAATAGACTATATTTTCTTCATATCATGCTTCTTTAGACCTTTCTAAAATAAATAATGGATTTATTGTGAAGGTGTAGGCTATATTACATGTATTTATTAGACTTTTTTAAATGTAGATGTTCCAAAGGTCTGCATCAGTGACTTGTAGGCTATGTGTGGAAGCCAGGAGATGCTAAATGTGTTTATGTTAATGGTCAATTACCGTGAGACCGACAGTTATTTGCTTGACAATCACCAGCTGACGAAATGTCGTGACCACCACAGCCCTAGGCCTACATTCTAATCTAGATCACAAATGTGCATATTTTTTTAGCATTTCGTTCATTATGCAGAGACATACTCATGTCGTCTCTTGTCGTAGTTAGTCTACATCCCTTCCCTTCCAGCTTTTACATAAGCTTTGTCCTGAAGCTTGGAAATGAAAAAGCACAAAAAGTCATTTTGGAGATTGGTATTGCTGTTTTTATTCCTTACCTATGGTTTTCATGGCAACAGAGTCCAGTCCTCATAGCTGGCCTCCTCCAATCCATCACCTGTTTGGTTGGAATAAACTAATGGAGAGCTTATAGTGTGTCTGACAACCTTCTGCCTGTTCAGCAGTGCACACTGACCTATATTAGAGATAGTAGATTAAACCAAGAGAAGGTTCCACAGGCTTACGGCCCACAGAGCCCATTTCAAACCCAGCTAGGATAAGCCTGCTGTTGAATGAGCAAGAATGAAATGCTCTCAAAATACTGTTTCTCTAGGGGATGTGTATCTGGTGGACCTCGCAGAGTCTTTGCATTATCTGTATTCATCGCAACGCTGAGCATTAATTGAATTAATGCATTATGGAATGAACGCATTGAGTTCAACACCAGTTCATGATGTGTTGCTGATGGTATGTATTTGTAAGATGTTCAAACAACTTAAGTGCGACTTTGACTTAGTATATCAGGGAGAAAGCAGTAAAGTGACTCTTAACTGCCCCTTGCAGTAGTAGCTGGTGGGGTGTGGTGCATATTTGAACCCTGCATACTCTAACTGCCATGGGCCATAGTGGCCACGTGTGGGTAGGGGTGGGTTTGCACCTGTCTACGTGCGTGCGTGTGTGTGCATGCATCAGCATGTTTACATTTAATATGTCTGTGTGTGTTTGCCCATGTTTTTGTGCATGCGTGTGTGTGTCTGTGTGTGTGTGCGTGTGTGATACTGGAACCCCTGCACCGTGTGTGGAGGTCTGAAGGGGTAACTGAGCGCAGTCCCATGTTGCGGGGTAAACACTGGTGATACAGTATAAATAGCTGTAGAGCTCTGACAACCCTTCCACAGCCCACTGTTTGTGCGTGTGCATGTGTGCGCGCGTGCGTGTGTATGTGTGCATGCAACACTTCCCCAGCTAAACACTTCCAGCTATGCTGGCTAAAGTTCACATACTAATGTCTCCCTTTCCTTACTACTAAGATTTATTACAGATTCATTACAGCATGGATACATTATTAATGACATTAATACATATTCACTGTGATTATTGTGGAGTTAGCATGTAGGAATTATTAAATGGTAATATGTTGTTTATAAGGTGTCAAATTATGAGCGAATTAACTGTAATGGAGTGTAGAGTGTCGTTAAATTTTTTACAGAGTAAAGACACATTTTATATTTTTTTCTTACTTTGTCCTTTAAGACAGCTGAATATATTAGTTATTTGACCAGTACAGTGTATTCTCAATGGTTTGTCAATGGAAAATGGTTCCATTATTATGCGTATCAAAAATATAGTACTGTAAATTGTAATACACTGATGTTTTGTCCTATTTATATATATATACACTACCATTCAAAAGTTTGTGGTCACTTAGAAATGTCCTTGTTTTCGAAAGAAAAGCAATTTTTTTGTCCATTAAAATAACATCAAATGTATCAGAAATACAGTGTAGACATTGTTAATGTTGTAAATGGCTATTGTAGCTGGAAACGGCTGATTTTTAATGGAATATCTACATAGGCGTACAGAGGCCCATTATCAGCAACCATCAGTCCTGTGTTCCAATGGCACGTTGTGTTTGCTAATCCAAATTGATCATTTTAAAAGGCTAAATGATCATTAGAAAAACCTTTTGCAATTATGATAGCGCAGCTGAAAACTGTTGTGCTGATTAAAGAAGCAATAAAACGGGTCTTCTTGAGACTAGTTGAGTATCTGGAGCATCAGCAATTGTGGGTTCGATTACAGAATCTGGCAGCTCAACGTCAACAGTGAAGAGGCGAGTTGCAAAGAAAAAGCCATATCTCAGACTGGCCAATAAAAAGAAAAGATTAAGATGGGCAGTCTGAGATATGGCTTTTTCTTTGCAACTCTGCCTGGAAGGTCAGCATCCCGGAGTCGCCTCTTCACTGTTGACGTTGAGACTGGTGTTTTGCGGGTACTATTTAATGAAGCTGCCAGTTGAGGACCTGTGAGGCGCCTGTTTCTCAAACTAGACACTCTAATGTATTTGTCCTCTTGCTCAGTTATGCACCGGGGCCTCCCACTCTTCTTTCTATTCTGGTTAGAGCCAGTTTGCGCTGTTCTGTGAAGGGAGTAGTACACAGCGTTGTACGAGATCCAAAACTTTTGAACGGTAGTGTATATACATATATATATTTTTTTTTTTTTAAAGCCCCCTTCCCTGCAGGAGGCCTTTTGCCTTTTGGTAGACTGTCGTTGTAATTATGAATTTGTTCTTAACTGACTTGCCTAGTTAAATAAAGGTTAAATAAAAATTTAAACATTTAAATAGTTACCAGTTGCACCTCACTTCATTTAAATTTGAAAGACATTTTGGGGACACTGACGGACTGTCACAATGAGACATTGAGGTATATTTATGCTTGGGCGAGTGTGGTGTCTCACAACTCTTCAGTGATTTAATCTGAGTTGAATCACTGCTGTCTCAAGGAAGCTTATTATGTAGCGAAGTCCTGTAGTGTCACCTCTGTTTCAACCTTGAAGCGGTGTAAAATACATTAGTAGTCAAATCAATGCTGACTTTCACATTACAAGAGCTTCTTATCATGGCTGTTGCCCTAGATATGTTTGGCGTTGGCAGTGAGAAAGTGTACTTCATTGCTATGCAGGTTATTCTTGATTGATCCCAGATTAATCTTTTAACACATATATGGATCTCCTCCTCAGATTGACGGTGTGGTGGTTGGAAATATGATTATATCTCTGCATTGCAGTAAGCTGTAATTTTGAAGCTATGCAGAAAGTATTCAGGGAGCGTATTATTATTATAGCATTTAATTTTCAATTTGTTAGATTTCAGTTGTATCTAGAATTGTGGACATGTATAAGGGCATGTGTTGCAACTGTTGTCTTGTGTTGAATTATACTTATTTTTTGTCTCAGTCGAAATTCTTCCATCTTATATTGTGTTTATTTATTTGCTGTGTTGTAGGGTGAATCGTCATGACGACAGAACCAAATTCAGAGTCCAGCGCGGACCAGCAGGAGGCCAGTGCGGTTCCACCCCTGGAGGCGGACTCTTTCCCCCCGGCCGCCACCCACAGCACGCCCGTCAGGAAGAAGCAGGTTAGCCACACCCACAAAATATAGCACCGTCACAGAGTTTCTAAACCCAGAGATGCAACATCGCGAGACTTCCGGGAACGCTTGCGAAGCAGACCAAGTAGACCACACGGGTTTGGGGTTTGAGAAGTAAAACATTCTTCCTTAGATGTTAATTTTCTCGAAGTCTAAAGGCACAACCTAGATTCGAGCCAATGACTTAAGTAGTCAAACATGTTATTACGCCAACCTCGTGAAAGTGACAAACTAAAACATTTTCATTTTCGTCAAAAACAACTTTATATCGAAGGAGTGCCTTTGATTTGACGGCACGAGACATCCATTAGACCTGATGATGTGTTTCAGCGCATGAGCTTAGCTAGCCAACGTTGCCATGACATCGCCTACAAGCGTGATCGGGGATTTCTACTGGAGAAGCCTATCTTCGTACTGTACTGTCTTTGGCACCGTCATCCTCATTTAGCCTATACAGGAAGTGACGTGGGAATAAGCTTTAAATGGCTGAATTTGAAACTTTTGATACAATATCAAACAGCCACAGTAGTACTATTCAGGTTTATAATAAACAAGTGTCCAAATAATTTGTCCTTAAAGGGCTACTTTGGGATTTTGGCAATGAAGCCATTTATCTACAGTATCATGACTGGTTGTGTTCATGACACATTAAAAAGTAATTCATTTTTACCATTTAAATGACGTATTTATTATTAGAAGAAAAAAAAATGAGACCCCCCCTCCCTATTTATTCCACTTGACCATTCGTGTCACAACTTGTTTGGTCCAAAACAACACATTATCATAATCATACCACTTTAACATTCCATTCAAAGTGCTATGTTAAAACCTGTGCCCCCCTGTCCAGAACGGCGAGAGAGCGGAGGGAGGCGTGGTCCCACAGGGGAATCAGCTTGAGCCATCGCAGGTGGAGGAGGACAGGACCTCACACAGGTCGTCCATCAGTAAGCTGTCCAGGTCCCCCGGTGGAGGCCGGAGCGTCCGCAGCTACAGGGCCATGCAGTGCAAGGTCACCCTGCTCGATGGCTCCGACTACACCTGCGTGGTGGAGGTGGGTGCAGGGGGTCACCGCTTGGGGTCGGGGTTGAGGGGAGGTGAGTTTAGCAGGTAGGTGGGTTAATGTGCGTGTAGGGATGGGTTGGTGTGTGTGTGTGTGTGTGTGTTGCAGAGTTCACCAGGGATAGAGATGGGAGGATCAGAGAGGGCAGGACATTTATTTATCAAAGTTAGTCTCACTGACATATACTTTCTTTCTCAAGACGTACTTTGTGGGGTTGGCTCACAGTTGGCTTGAGGTTGTTTTTTTATCACGCTGAATCGATGACGTCTCCTTATACAAATTCACCTCGGTCTACATGAATTGGGTGGACATTAATGGTATTGCTCTACTGGAAGTCTCTAATGCTGACAAAATAGGTTAGCAAGCTCATCTATATGCATGGATCTTCCTTTATTTCCTGTATTCTCTGATCTTAACATAATTAAAGGCTATCGAAGCTTGCCCCAATGGAATTCACTCTGCTTTTAACGGTATTGAAATAAACTCCCCTTAGACCTAATACTTGGCTGTATACATTGAAAAACACCCCATCCCCCAACGGTGCATAATCAGACAGAGCTTTTTGGGCCAACTCGCCGTTTTCCTTCTAAGCAGACATGATCCATCACTCTGTATATATCTGTCCATTCCTACACATTTACTGCTTTGTCTCAACATAAAAACAGAGGCTCTGTTCTTCAGCTTCCAGCAAACTCTGTTGGTCAAGAACTGGAGAGAAACCAATCTATTAGTGCAGTTTGAGCCCCAGGCTGGATTTGGCTTAGTCGGTACATCCAATGGAAAAAGATAATAAAGCATTGTGGCCGGTTGGCTCGGTCGTTCGTTTGGTCGCTCTGTGTTGGTGGCCATGGGAAAGCGACATTGCAAAGAGAGGGGTGTGCCTCCGGCCTTAACATGCTGCAGCGATTATTGACTGGCTCTTTCCCTGGCAGAGAGGACAGAGGAGAGATAGACGGGGGGAGGATTGAGAGAGGGAAGAGAGGGGTGGCAGGGGGAAGAGTGGATGACAAGGGAGGAGAGGATGGAGAGGGATGAGAGGGGATGAGGGAGAAGAGGACAGAGGAGGAAGAGAGGGGATAAGAGAGAGGAGGAGGATGAGGGAGGAGAGGACAGAGGAGAGGACAGAGGGGATAAGAGAGATGAGAGGACAGAGGAGGAAGAGAGGGGATAAGAGAGATGAGAGGACAGAGGAGGAAGAGAGGGGATAAGGGAGGGGAGGAGAGATATGGTAATTTTCTGGCTTTGCTGTGGAGAGGAGAGTGGGATAGAGGTCAGGAGAGAGGGGAAAGGAGAGGGAGAGAGGAGTGGAAAGGCTTGAGGGGAGAAGGGAGATGGATACACTCTTAGAAAAAAGGGTTCCAAAAGGGTTCTTTGGCTGTCCCCACAGGAGAACCCTTTTTGGTTCCAGATAGAACTATTTTGAGTTCCATGTAGAACCCTCTGGGAAAAGGGTCTACATGGAACCCAGTAGGTTTCTACCTGGAACCGAAAGGTTTCTACCTGGAACCAAAAAGGGTTCTTCAAAGGGTTCTCCTATGGGGACTACCGAGTAACCCTTTTAGATTCTAGATAGCACCTTTAGAGAGAGGTGAGAGAGGGGCAAAGAGTTTACTGAGGGGATAAAAAGAGAGAAGCGCAGAGAGAGGGGGATGATGGCGTGACATGGGGCGGCGCACAATTGGCCCAGCGTCGTCCAAGGTAGGGGAGGGTTTGGCCGGCAGGGATGGCGTTTGCAATGCCAGGGTTGTGGGTTCGATTCCCATGGGGGGCCGGTATGAAAAAAAATGATGTATGCACTCACTAACTGTAAGTCGCTCTGGATAAGAGCGTCTGCTAAATGACTAAAATGTAAATGTAATGTAAATGTGACGTCCCCTCCTCTCTCGCAGTGACATGCACAGTGTCATGTCTGTCACAGGCCACTCCGCTTCCGAGTCATCATTGTCGCTCTGACCTCCCAAGTCACCTCCACAACATTCCACTTAACTACCCATCAGCCCCCATCAATGCCACAACAACACTCCTATGGTGAATCCAAATCACCCCCTACCAACTCGCTCGGAGGGCCCTCCGTTGTCACGTGTTGCTGACAAAACTCTGAGGATGACTTCCAGAGAGTGGTGATGGGATCAATGAACCCATCAACTTCGGGACACACTCGTTAAATAGTGAAATGAGTATGAAATTCAAATGAACAAATCCCCCCTTACAAGATATAAACCTCAGAAAACAATTCAACATTTAATTTGGGAGGTATTTCATCTGTTAGCTTCATGTGTCAAGTCTCGAAATCAGACATAAACAAATGCATGTGGAATATAATTAGGCATGCCTCTCCATTCTTTTGTATCAAATTGCTCAAACTCCAAACATATCGCGGTGTGTGTCGGGATAGCACTTCGCACTGAAGCCTGAAGCCTTGCTGGCTTGGCCGAAGTGGTTATCGGAGGGTCTAATTAGCTCCTAAACCCTCAATAATTTTCACTCCCTCAGCATTGGGACACTTGTGCTTTTGGCGGAGGTGTGCGGGAATGAGCAAATGGAGGGGCGAGGGGAAAGGGAAGGAAGTGATTTGGAATTCAGCCCTAGTAATGGATGTAGCAACGTAGAGTAGCTAGGGAAGTGAAAACACGTTTTTGTCTCTATTTCTGTTTGTCCTCGTAGTTCAGTAGCTACATTCTTTGTTTGGATGTTGTTTGGGTCACTCAGACAGTGAGTGACATCGCTGAAGTGCTCTTTCTGGTGATTGGAACGGGAAATTAAGGCTGCAGAGATTATCCTCTTTAGCGTTAGCTGCTAGCTGCCCAAGGCTAATGCACATAGTTGATATTGTTCCTATATTACTGGGTGTTTAATAAGGTTGCGGTGGTTAAGTGGTACCCCAAGGGGCTGTATGACCTGGGAAATGACTTGACCGCGTTTCATGGTAAATCACGAAGATAAGCATGTTCCTCATTTACAAAAAGATGGGATTTTGTTGTCTCCTGTGTGTTTCTTGCTGCACACATCCGCACGCACACACACACACACACACAAACACACACTGTTATTTTGTACTTTTTTAGCTTGGATGGGATAACTTCTGTATAGCCCATCTCAAGTATTCATTCTGACACTTGGTTTGTCTCCGTTTTAACACACCTAGCTACTACTCCAGAAACACTACAAAATAACCCTCCTAATATTTCCCAGTTTTACCACACCTTGTCCTCTACGAAATACATTTACAAATATAACCCTTCTAATCTTTCTCCGTTTCAAGGTGACATATTTGGAAGAAGTCTACTACAATATGTGTCAGCCCCCATTTCCCCTGACTTAATTAACCAATTTTTACAGAGTGTTAAGGCATGTTGCTAATTTGGAGCTAGCAATAGGAGCCTCATAGGTTGACGTATATTGGCTCAGAGAGCCTTGGATCTCACCCTGCAAGGGCCAGGCAGGGTAACAGTCATTAGTACAGTGATCACGATGTGACACAACATGGTGTGATGTTGGGAGATGGGAGTGGAGCCCTTTTAACAGGCAACCCCCTCCCCCATAGAGAGTTGAGTTATGGTAGGAAGACTGGCACCCACAGCGGCAGACATGACTGTGTGTGTGTGAGTGTGTGCGTGAGTGTGTCTGGATACTCTTTCCAGTGCCTATCTTTCATTAAATGGCTCCTGACCCCGTCGGAGGAATACATCACAATTTAGTGCAATGACACACCATTATCATTCAGGAGGGGTTTGATAATAGACACCATTATCATTCAGGAGGGGTTTGATAATAGACACCATTATCATTCAGGAGGGGTTTGATAATAGACACCATTATCATTCAGGAGGGGTTTGATAATAGACTCCATTATCATTCAGGAGGGGTTTGATAATAGACACCATTATCATTCAGGAGGGGTTTGATAATAGACACCATTATCATTCAGGAGGGGTTTGATAATAGAAAAATGGTATGCAGCAGTAATCTGTCCAGTGTACGTTCGTAGCATTTATAGAATGTAACCTAAGAATCGAGCCCTAAGTGTTTCTCATGTGTGTTTCTTCTCTATGTGCAGAAACGGGAGAGAGGCCATGTGTTATTCGACAAAGTTTGTGAGCAGCTCAACCTCCTGGAAAAGGACTACTTTGGCATCACATTCCGGGATATCGAAAACCAAAAGGTGGAATTTCTCTTTTTGATTTTGCTGTGTAATTAGGGGTGTTTTTGTTATTTTGTAGAGGTGAATTGACACTGGCCTCTTGAATTCTCCCAGAACTGGTTAGACCCATCCAAGGAGATGAAGAAACAGATCAGAGGTGCGTGGAATATGGGTATTTGGATATTATTTATCCGCATGGTTTGAATGTTAGCCAGCATGCTAGTTACTCAGGCTTAAAGGCGCAATCTGTGGTCTTTCCGACTGTTCAATGGTCATTTCAATTAACCGTTTGTTTTTGTACACTCCAGGAGTCGCCTGGAATTTTTCATTCAACGTGAAGTTCTACCCTCCAGACCCAGCCCAGCTGTCTGAGGATATTACAAGGTAACACTTTCTATAGTTTCACCTTCGGGACGCGGTCCACTAGGTCCTTTTTCAAGAGGTTTTATATATTTGTACCTTTGGGATGTCTACATTCACCAAATAGCTGTCTGAATCACCTGGGATGTTTTTCTTCTTCTGTCCTCAGGGTTTTAAATTAGCATAATAACACATTTTTTAAATCAATTCATTACTGTGCTTTGTGCATTTGGCTGCCAATTAACTCTCTCTTTCTCTTGTTTTTCTCCTTTCTCTCACACCTCTTTTTCTCCTACACAAACTCCCTTCCTCACTCCCCTTTCTCTTTCCTCACCCCTCTTTCTCTGTCCCTCACACCTCGTCCCCCCTCTCCCTCTCAGATATTACCTGTGCCTCCAGTTGAGGGATGACGTGGTGTCGGGGCGTCTGCCCTGCTCCTTTACCACCCACACGGTGCTGGGATCCTACACGGTTCAATCAGAGCTGGGGGACTACGACCCAGAGGAGTCTGGGACGGACTACGTCAGCGAGTTCCGCTTTGCCCCCAACCAGACCAAGGAGCTGGAGGAGAAGGTCATGGACCTGCACAAGAACTACAAGTCAGTCTGTTTGTTTGTCTGTCTAGAACTACAAGGCAGTCTGTTTGTCTGTCTGTCTAGAACTACAAGTCAGTCTGTTTGTCTGTCTGTCTAGAAATACAAGTCAGTCTGTTTGTCTGTCTGTCTAGAACTACAAGTCAGTCTGTTTGTCTGTCTGTCTAGAACTACAAGGCAGTCTGTTTGTCTGTCTGGCTAGAACTACAAGTCAGTCTGTTTGTCTGTCTGTACATCTTTCTGTCTGTCTGTCTATATAACCTATTGGAAGAGACTGTCATGGACTGAAAAGTTACTCTCAAAAACCAATACAAAACCCTCTCTCTGTGTGTGTTTGTCTCTCTCTCCAGAGGAATGATGCCAGCTGAGGCTGAGATGCACTTCCTGGAGAACGTGAAGAAGCTGTCCATGTACGGAGTGGACCTTCACCATGCCAAGGTAAAGGGGCCGTATTAAACTTATATAAAACATAGTCTACCTGTTATTGACCCCAACCCTGTTGGTTTTTTCAAAATGTCTGCCCTGCCATGAATTGTTGTTATGACCTGCATGATTCTGCCTTGTTCCCTGTCCTTTGACCGCGAGCAGCTTGAATAGCCATTTGGATCTTTGTTGTTTGAATCCTTAGATCCAAACCATGGTGTTATGTACTGCCCTCAGTGACACTTCAAACCCCACAAGTGCAGGAGAATGAATGATATCACTTACATATGCTCTGAAATTATCTAATTTAACCTTGCTACCAAAGGAATTATTTTAGCCTGTCAAAGGTGTGGACACTGTTCATGGTCTGCCTATCACTAGCTAATGTCCTCTCTGTTTTGTGTTAAATGTTGTTCTAGTTGTTACTTTGTGCCTCTGTTGGTTGTTTATGTTGTTTGCAGCTGGGGATGACATTTAACTAATCACCTATCAACACACCACTGTTATATAACCAAGCAAATCAAAAACCCGCCCAATTCGCTGGCATAGATTTGAATGGACTTGGCACGGTTAGATAAAAGAACATTGTCAGATTGAATATACTCAAGAAGCAATAGGAGAGGAGAAAGAGCTTGTTTTAGATTTTAGCTGAACTTTTTACAAATATGGTTATTTTTTGTCTTTATCAAAGAAACATTGTTTGGAAAATGGTATATCTGTTGCCAGCCATGTAAATATAGCCTGACCCAGCTGTGTAATGGGGGTTATATCATCTGACCTCATGTAACCCCAACGCACCATGAGGAAAAATCGTTCACCCAAAACCGTTTCACAACACCTCCTAGCACCAATTGCATCAGAGAGTAAACATAGTGTTTTGTCATGAAAAAATCCACATTAAATAAAGACATGCTGCTCTAGCACTTATGATTTGCGTTAATAACCAAATAAAATAGAACACATAAAAACACTCATAACAGACTCACTGATGTCATGGAAACCTTCCCTCCGTTTGGTCAGATCAGACTATGTTTTTTTCTTTTCTTTTCTTATTCTTACTGAATGGCCTAGTTGGTAGGAAGCCTGTTTGAGTGCTTGTCTCCAGCTAAGGGCGAGGTAAGGCTTGCATTTTGTTTGTGTGTATGTATAGTTACATGTGTCCCCGTCTGAAAACCCCTGTCTTCGTGCATGACCATGGACTGTTAGTGTTCATCGTTTGGGGCTGTGGGTTTGTCTCACTACAATTTCGAGTTGACATTGTGGATGATTGTAGTTGTAATTTCTTAGGTGGCTGTTGTGAGGTGTAGGACATCGCCCCCCCCCCATGGTAGACCGCACTCCCCTCATAGCCACAGTGCTCATATCCCGCTCACACAGAGTTGTGGACCCCCCTCTGTCGCCCCATCTGCTCTGTGACACCCCGACTGTGCTCATCTGCAGACTTTAAGACCTTTTGGGGAAGGCCTCCTCATTGTGATGTCATGTGACTAGTATCCGCCATCTTAACCCCACATTTAGGCTACATCCAATATCCACATTAACATGCCTCTTGAATGAAGCAATTAGGCATGTATTCTAAGTGGGATGCTAGTGTGGACATTGGAACATGGAATTTGACTTTAGACAGAATAGATGTCAATGTAGTCACAGACTCCGCCTCATGAGTGATAGACTCCTCCATCACCCTAACATTCACTGTCCTTGCAATGCCATCATATGGTGATGTACGTAGGTGTATGAATGAATGTTTAGACAAAATGCCCACTGCAGCCTTGTAGACCTTCAGCATCCATGGATCAGGAAAAAGGAGCACATTTCATAGTACACCACAGCTGAAAATACCTCAGCTTTGCTCGGTACTACCCTAAACTACATTTAAATAGCTAAGACACGTACATCATTGTGCTCTGTAAATTGGCTCTCAATTGCTTCCTCCCCTCATCTCCTTAACTTCGTCTGCACTGATTGGAACGTGACAGGTAAAAACAATATGGTGCAAGATCATCATTAGCCTGGCTTTCACCTGTTCAGTTCTTTCAGCTGCGTGCAATGAAGGAGAGAAGGCAAGGAGTGGACAGACTTTTTAGACAATTGAGAACGAGCCCAGTACTTGCTCATGGCTACAAAGCCAGACAGATCACTAGTGAAAGTAGGAGCTGTGAAAAGAGGTGATTTTAGTATAAATAATTGGTTTCCGGTAATGTAGGTCATTTTCTTGTCTCTTGAGTTCTTGGTTCGGCAACAGTTTATGAAATATGTTCATCAACATTACGACAGCTCTCATTATGTTTTCATTTCAATTATCCTTTTTTTAGAAAGCTAATTTGAATCCTTCATTGAATAATGCATTGTATTTGGCTTGCCGTATCGCCAGTCATCTCAGGCTGCCTCACTTCTTTGTAGGAGAAAGTGGTGGTGTCTGGATAATGTCAACCATATATTTTTTCAACAATCAGAAACCTTTTTTTGCCTGGTTGTCAATCTGTTTTGGCATTAGTCAACTACTCTGCCGTTATTATGTTTGGTAGAGTCTAGCAAAGATTAGGAATAAGTCTATGGGCATACTGTAGACCAGGGTTATTATAACTCCACGCCAGGAGGAACTAAACACTTCTGGACTCTCTGGGCCAATAAATGACATTAATCAATCAATCAATGAATTGCTAGGTAGTAATCAAAACCAGGAGCCCTTTGGCCCTTCAGGCATGGAGTTGAATAGTCCTGCAGACAGTAAACTAAGGACAACAACCAATAGGTGAGCTGACTAAAACCAAAACTGACTTGACACCTAGGCTACCTCAATGTGAGACTAGTAACAAAATTCCAGAAACTTTCCCAAAGTTCCCAGGTTTTTCAGAAATCCCACTTTGTGGAAGTTTCAGGAATTTTGCAACCCTGAGTCTAGTTTGAGTAGTGCCATGTTGTTAACCATACTTCCTAACATTCTTTCCCAGGATTCCGAGGGTGTTGAGATCATGTTGGGCGTGTGCTCCAGTGGTCTTCTGATCTACCGTGACCGCTTGCGCATCAACAGGTTCGCCTGGCCCAAGGTCCTCAAGATCTCCTACAAAAGGAATAATTTCTACATCAAACTACGCCCTGGAGAGGTAAGCATGTCAGCATATGGCCCTGCTGACATGAAAGCACGTCACATGAAAGAAATGTCACGATCCTGTTTCATATATGTAGGTAGTATGCACATCACATAGAATGGCATCACATAGAACAGGGTTCCCCAACTGGTTTGGCCCACGGGTGGTTTTATTTAAATAAATAAATAGGCAATTAATTGTTGGACATAAAAGACTGTAAAAACACCAGCAAATCAGCTCCAAGTGATTTTAATTTAAGAAATCAATTCCTAAGTATTCCCACGCATAATAGAGAGACACATGGTCGTATACAAATGTATGGAAGGTTTGAAATTATTATGTTTTAGTCTAACATTATATCTGTTTGGGCTTCTTGCGGTCAATTTGCAGTCTAGAAATCATTTGTAATTATGTTCCGGCCCCCCCGACCATCCCTGACATTGAATGACTCGTGTGTGTATTCTTTCTGTATGTTTTGTCGTCAGTTTGAGCAGTTTGAAAGCACAATCGGGTTCAAGCTCCCCAACCATAGGGCGGCCAAGAGATTATGGAAGGTTTGCGTGGAGCATCACACCTTTTTCAGGTGAGACCTGGGCCATCACATCAATGTGTAGACATCTGCCATTTCAGTGGAGGGTTTTGGATGTAAATCCATAGTTATTGTACATTGTCTTGGTTAACTTCATGCTGGGTTGGAACAAAAGCCTGCACACCCTGCTTCCCTCCAGGACCATTTGCCCATCCCTGCTGTAATAGTGTGTCTTTCTTGACCTCTAGGTAGATTAATGTCTCCTCTTTGTTCTCTGCCCTCACCATTCCTCTCTGTCCTCTAGGTTGGTGTCTACAGAAACTCACCCCAAGAAGTTCCTAAACAACATTCCTCTGTGTCCTCTAGGTTGGTGTCTCCAGAAACTCCCCCCAAGAAGTTCCTAAACCTGGGTTCTAAGTTCCGCTACAGCGGAAGAACCCAGGCCCAGACGCGACGAGCGAGCTCCCAGATCGTCCGCCCGGCGCCCCGCTTTGAGCGCTCCACCAGCAAGCGCTACATCATGTCGCGCAGCCTGGACGGAGGTTCGTAGTCCCGTCAACCTTTTTCTTTGAAGCGGTTAGGAATGAAGGAGGATTGTATCACATTTCTCCCCATAGAGTTTGTGTTGGGGAAGTTAGCCTGAAAGCATACTACAGGACAAAGCAAGCTACAGGACATTATTAAACAACCAAACCTAAATCGTCACACTTATGAAAATCATATGTTGCCCTTGTCCTCAGTGTTCATGTCCACACTTTTCTGAAGTATTTGTTTCTAAGCTGTTCAAGTCAGAGGGATTTACAGTATCCAGAGATGTTTTTACATGCATCTCAGGCACCAATCAATCAATGCACCCATCTGTCATAATGGTCATACCACTGCACACCTTGTGACATCTGTCAATCAATCACACTTGATTTGGTCTTCAAAACCATTGACATTCACTCAAGTCCTCCTAGACCTGTCATTGGCTTACAAGTGTCACTGGCGTGAATAGGCAATACTTTCCTTTGAATATCCCTAGAACGATAGTTGATATTCTCCACAGAGCCATTTTGGTCGCCGTTTGTCTTGAAAGTGGTCGCTTGCTTGTCAGCTTCAACATTTCCTAGTCTAAATGAAAGCTTAAGAGAACCTCCCTAAGCAGCCATGCTATGAAGTCTCTAAAGCCTCACTACGCCGCTCAGACTAATTACAGTTTGTAGCCATTGTTATCCTCGCCGCTCTGCACTCACAATGCCTTTTTATCCCCTGAAAGCACCCAGTGCCGTCCCTCACTCCCCTGTCTTTATCAACCAGTCCCAGACCAAGGGAAATGTCCTTTATTTTTCAAGCCAGCTCACAGAGGAAGCCGCAGTTAAATGGCACGTAGTGACGACGGCTGTGTATGAAGAGGGAATCGAAAAGATAGTTTATTTATTATCGCCACAGGGATTTACCAGGCGCCCCATTGTGTTGTTTTGTCATCTTCGCTTGACGATGCACCCTCTGCTTTTGTTCTCCCCCGTTCACTGAAAAAAATTAATTCGTTTTTTTATTTTATTTATGCCACCCCCCCCCCATGTCATATCTGAGCTGTGGCAAAAATCTGTCTGTTTGAATGCAAATGTTGCTGTCTCATTTAGGGGTGAAGAGCTTTTTTGGCTGAATTTCACTAGCTAACTGACGTGAAAGAGAGACTCGTCCAATTGGCTGTGATATCAATTGAATATGAGCCACCCTGGGGCCCATATTAGATCAGTATCATTGGACCGAAAAGGCAACATTGATTTTTCTGTCTCAACTCTTCATTGATGGGAGAAAGTTGACTGTCTGTTCTCATCCCATCAGAAAGTGTATCCATTCAGTGTCTTAGTCTGAACAGAGGCTTTCAATAACACTGTGAACCAGACAACTTACACATTCTTTAACATTCATGTATTCAAATCCATAGTCTACAAAATTATTATATAAACCAACAATATTCTCTCCCTCTTTCTCCCAAGTGATCAGCTGACTACCTAATGCTCAGCTTTGAATAATATTATGTGTCATGTTAATGTTGAATCTTCCACCGTAATATTGAATTTCTATGCAATCCTCCTCAGCTCCGCAGAGTACACCCAAAAGGAGTTCACCCAATAGGAGTTCACCCAAAAGGAGTACACCCCAAAAAACTGTATCACCGAGAATTAAACCACCTGCTAGTTTAAACGGCACTAAACCAACAGGTAGATATTATGCACTGTGTCTCTATGTACGTGCTAACAGTAGATGTAGCCCCTGAGCTAGCTATGCCTGCTAGTTAATGATCCCATCTCTGCTTCTTTCCTTTTCCTTTTTTCGACGGTAGCCATTTTGTTTTGTATTTTGGGCCCTGGTTACAGACACCCCTCGGTGCTGATCAGGCTTGCGCTGCATGCTCCCATGCTGATTGGGGGACTCCCCGCCTAGCATGTGAACGTACCATGGCCCTCCCTTCACAGCTGTTCTCTTCTAGTTGTTTGTTTGAAAAGAAAATGGAGAAACAATCCCAGCCTTGTTGTGTTAGCTTGGCCGCTAATGGGTTATGTGGCCTGGATCTATAAAGAGACTCAGCAATCGCTCGCTCATTCTCCCAGCTCGTTACATTGAGTCAGAGTGCTTTTTGTGCCGTCACTGACGTAGGAGATGGTACAAGTTAACCTAGATACTCTGTGTTGTTGTTTTTATCGCACTGCTTTGCTTTATCTTGGCCAGGTCGCAGTTGTAAATGAGAACTTGTTCTCAACTGGCTTACCTGGTTAAATAAAGGTGAACAAAAAAAAAAAAAAAAAACATCAAGTACTCTTTGGTTAAGATATGTGTTTTTCTGCCCTGAATGATAGAACACAGCTTATTAGCTTTGTTTGGGTTCACGGCAGGGATGCAGTGCATGATCTGTCTGAACTGACTCATAGCAATGATGAAATATGATCTTTTTCACCAGCACACCCAATACCATATCATCGGCCAACTGCATATTTTTTCCCCCCTTTCTCGTTTAGGTTCTGACACGGTAGTTTTTATGTTGGTATTTAAGTGCATGCGGTTTGAGCCTTTCATTATCAGTCAATGGGAGGAATTCAGCAGCTGCAGTCAGTTAGAGAATGTTTGTAAGGCCGGCACATAGAGGAGCTGAAAAAGACTGGTTATCAGGGATTGCTGTCTATTGTAAATTGAAAATTGATGATGAGGGTAGTCACCCTAGCATAAAAACCTCAGCATGGAAACTGATAGCAATTGGTTTTTATTGTGTGCCTTTTCTCATAAATCTGGAGCATGGTATTTTGTTAGGTGCTTACTGTTGTGACTGAAACCCTTGATGATATCGATTTTAATATATAATACTGCTTATGAGATGCTATGAGCTTCTCATTTCAAACCACATAATGATTATGGAGTATTGGCTTTAATTACAGATCAAGGCTAATATCTGAAAGAAAGGCTCTGACGTTGATAATAATATTGTTATTATCAATGGGAATGGGATTTAATGCGTGTTTTTAGGTTTATCTTCTATGGTTGTGATGACTATGCTGATACAACCTGCAGCATATTACATTCACCCTCCAACCTGCAAACCTGCAATATTGTCTCAGTTAGAGGAAAATGATGATTCCTTAATGGAAAATGATGTGTGTGTGTGTGTGTATGTGTGTGTGGGTATGTGCGCGCCTGTGTGCGTGCGTGTGCGTGCATGTGCATCTATGTGCATGCTTCAGAGATGGGCTCGGACCTATACGGAAGGGCGAAGGGCATTGCCGTGAGCGACCTCATCACCACGGTGACACCGGAGAAAAAGGTGGAGGAGAGGAGGGCGGAGGAAGAGGTGGAAGTAGAGGTGCAGGTGGAGGTGGAGCTGGAGGAGGAGGACGAGACCACAATAGCCACCGAGATCTCTCAGCCAAGTCCAACCTCTCCCATTCGACATGACACCAAGGTATAGTTCTCCACACCCAATCAATTATCTCTGTCCTCAGTCCACCCCTGAGCTCTCTCTATAATACATTCAAACAAATTCCTCTGAGTGCCCAGATTCCACTCTGAAAATGAAAGCTGTTTAATGCCGGAGCCCAGAGTGTAACCTAGCTAGTGCCAGCCAGAGCTATTCTGTCAGACAGACTAGAGCCAGGTGGCCATCAGTTTTCTAAGGTAGTGAAGCAGCACATATCTCATTGTTTAGGAATGGCGTCCTGTGCTTTTATGCTCTGCCACGCTCTCTATCAGGTAGGCAGGGCCATGATAACTCACTAATGGATAACTCCGAGTCCCCGAACCTGAACCGTCTCTACTCTGGCCGAAGGGCAACTTCAGATCAGTGCCAGAAGACTCAGAGACAGGCAGGGCCAGACTATTTCAAATGTAGAAATTAAAAGGGCTTGTTTAGATGTGCTGTTCATTCGTTGTGCATATTGATGACGAGGAGCTAAAACTGAATAAACTTTGGCAGATGTAATGTCTATAGTTACTAGTTACCTAGGAGAAGAGTTCTTAGTAGAGTCATAATGTTTATTGTGAAAGGGCAAACTGTTAACTGTAATTGAATTTGTGAGGAAAATTGATAAGGCGGGAGAGCAACCTCAAACTGGTGGAGTCATCTGTAATATATTTTAATGAAATGATGTTGACATAGGTCGTCTGAATATGTTTTAATGCATTTCCTGTTGTTTTTTACCCCGAAAATGGTTTATCGTCACTACTTTGTTGAACCTCTTTGCTAATGGCTAATGTTTGGGTAAATATGAGATCTGGGTAATCCTACATTCAACCCTAACAACCACAGTTCTCTTTCTCCTCACGCTTTTCCATTGGATGTTCTATTGTTGTGTTACTACTAAACAGACTGAACTGACAGACACTGGGGTCGATGGCGAACTGACAGCCACTGAGGTTTGTAACATGGGTAGTCACTAGTCACCTCAACTCTCATCTCTTCTTGTAGAAGTCTTACGTTCTTTAGTTTCACATTTCTATTTCAACAATATCGGATTGTCTGATTATCCATTCAATGCATTGTTATTTGATAGTTTCTCTTATAAGCTATAACCTGTTGTGTTATATTCCTGTTTTGAAATCAAATTCCCTCTCTGTGCTTCCCATGCTGCCAGTCGGACCAAGAGGATGAGTCTGAGTTAAAGACACAGGTATACTAACTAGTGTATGGTGCCTTAACACTCATTTCATCCACAGCTCGTCAAACGACCATTTCATCCACAACCTGTGAACCCGGGATTCAAAATCACTGTAGGCTCCACAATCAAGACCTGCAATCTATGAGGAGATATGGATTTTATATGCAATAACATCTAAATTACTGTCATTTCCTTTCCAGAACAGTTTCATAAGGCGAATAAAGGGAGAGAATGTGTTTGTCAGACATAGTGTGCTGATGTTAGAGGTTGGTACAGTATGGAACGCCAGTCTAGTGCATGGTGATTGGTGACGTTTTGGTCAAGGACTAGGTTTGGACAGTAACAGTGGATTTCCCATTTTGACCATAATAACATATTGTTTTGAACTGTCCAATGTTGATTCACTAGCTAACATACTTAGTAAGCACAGAGTGTTTTGGGGTGATTTCGTTTTTTGCTGTAATACATTAACATGAGATGCTAGATTGGGAGTTATTGCTTATAAATAGAGAATAAGATGAATTAAGGTTCAATTGATGTCTATTAATATTTCTTTACAAAGAGTTGAATCCTAACTTTCACTTCAGTCAAAATTGTATTTGTTCATGCATTGATGTCAATGTGAGACATTTATGATTCACCACAAAATGTGGATAATTCATAAGTACACAAGAGTGGCAAATGCATTGCAGTGTTCTTTTGAATGCATGTTCTGCCTGTTTCGGCTAGATTATGATATTATACTGTATATTCAGCTCATTACACTTCACCTGTGAATATAATATAAACAGACATGAAATTAATGGATATTATATTTGTCAATCTGTCACCAAGACGATACTTAGGCATGCTACTTCAGTAGCAGCACACAAGCGGCACTCACAAAGATTCAGAACCGTAATTTGCAAGTGGAGGAGTCTCACAATACACCGTTGATTTTCTATTGCATTTGCATTGCAGAACTCATTCACTACCTCATTTTGTTTTTAAAGGATTGGTTTGTAGCTTGCTGATTAGCGTCCAGTAGCATGATTTTTTCAATAGAATGTTATTTTCAGTATTGTTCAAAACATGGACATACTGTAAATGTTAAACAGCCTTAAAGAAGACGACACAACACTACTATGTTAAATTGATATCCATACACATTTAACATTTAAACTCTAGAATTAGCAGTAGCATCAGTCAAATGACTTATTCTTCTCTTTCTGTTCCTCAGGACACAGTGGGCACACCGGAGGAGCTGTTGAAACACGCAACCAACATCAGCGAGCTCAAGAGGTCGTTCCTGGAGATGTGTGCAGACACGGCCGGCCTCACCGAGTGGGAGAAGAGACTATCCTCGTCCCCCCTGCGCTCGCCGCGTCTCGACGAAGCCCCTATGATCGAACCACTGGAGCTCGATGAAGTACCGGTAAGTTCACTTTCAAATCGGAGAGGGACAGAATAGAGGGGGGGGGGGGACATCCATATAGTGTTTAGAGACCCCTGTGTTTTAATAAAACATTTAGTAGAACCTCAGTGGGTGAAAACACGTAAAATTACAAATCTGGTAACATGTAATCCATCGGTGGCCATTATGCTGCCTTTTGTTCCAACCTTGCAATAACACACCTGATTCTACTAATCAGCTGCTCCTTAGCTCCTTGATACGCTGAATCAAGTTTTTTTTAAACTAATGGATGTACAGACACTACTATCCTGACATAAAGATAAATAACATCCTTGCTTTTGATAGGACATGATTTGAAGGTTGAGATGTGTCTGCTGCAGTGTGAGAAGTTAAGAGATGTGTCTGCAGGAGTGTGAGAAGGTTGAGATGTGTCTGCTGCAGTGTGAGAAGGTTGAGATGTGTCTGCTAGAGTGTGAGAAGGTTGAGATGTGTCTGTTGGAGTGTGAGAAGGTTGAGATGTGTCTGCTAGAGTGTGAGAAAGTTGAGATGTGTCTGCTTGAGTGTGAGAAGGTTGAGATGTGTCTGCTAGAGTGTGAGAAGGTTGAGATGTGTCTGCTAGAGTGTGAGAAGGTTGAGATGTGTCTGCTAGAGTGTGAGAAGGTTGAGATGTGTCTGCTAGAGTGTGAGCACAGGTTGTTTAGGGGGAAAGAGATTAATGAGATCCCTCCTCTCCTTGTCATGTCTCAGGAGACTGGGGCCTCTACCGTGTCTCCTTGAAAAGCTACTCAATAATTCATACAGGTGGAGGAGGGTGCTTAACACCCCGCTACTGTAGATAGAGGGACAAATGTTACGAAAGAACCGCTGCCTCATTATAACATGTGACATCTATACCCTTCCTTCTCCAGTGACATTTTCAAGTAGCTACCAAGCATCAACCTGTTTTTCAATGGAAGTTAAGCCACTATAAAAGGAAGTGATTCCAATGGAGCTCCTTGATGCAGCCAAAAAGTGTAGGCTACAATATCCAACCATTGAAGCTAAAAGTAGATACAAGGAGCGCTCGTTGAAAGTACCAGGGTGACATCAGTATAGGGCTCGATTGATTTTTAGCAGCCTGGCCTGTGAATGAGTAATACATCCTTGTGCTGTAACCTTGCCAAACGGAGGTGGGAAAGAGAGACTCAAGGAAGCAAGCATCCTCCTCGACTAACCATTTTAGCAGGGCTAAAATAATTTCCCCCCCTATTGCTATGGAAAAGCATGCAGGGACTTCAAAAGGGAGAAGAAACCCCCACCCCTCTGCATGCAGTGTGTGTGTGTGTGTGTGTGTGTGTGTGTGTGTGTGTGTGTGTGTGTGTGTGTGTGTGTGTGTGTGTGTGTGTGTGTGTGTGTGTGTGTGTGTGTGTGTGTGTGTGTGTGTGTGTGTGTGTGTGTGTGTGTGTGTGTGTGTGTGTGTGTGTGTGCGCGTGCGTGCGTGCGTGTGTAAACATCAAGCAGTCGGGAGAATGGCAATGATGATGTAACCAGGGAAAGGAGATTTTTTTATTCATTCATGTAGCAGCGACGATAGCATATTTCTGCCAGTATTTATTTGTGATTAAAGTAAGTGTGGAAAGGAGCCAATTCACCCCTCATCCAAGTCTTGCAACCTTGATTAATTCTTTATTTGTGAGCTACTGGAAGAAGAGGGAATGTGTCTGCAGAGAATGTTCTCATTAATCCAGACCAATATCTCTGTTATGAACCTCAGAGTGTGAGTTTGTTTGGAGAGATACTTAAGTCCCATAGTTACACGCTGTTGTGCCATGTTTTATGGAAATCTCATATCACACACACTCTTATCAAACAGAATGAGTAATGATATCAGTAATAGGATGCAGCCCACATGCACACGCCTCAAAGCTACTTTCCATTCTAGTTCATTCATGCCGGGCTGTTTGTTTATGTCTTGTTTTTATTTTCTATTCATGTAGAGCAAAGAGGATGAGAGAGCCATGGCTGCAGGCAGTAGCATTGAGGAGGAGATCAATCACAGCCCTGTGGATACTAAGACTACTGTGGTAGGTAGCCAGGATATCAATCACAGCCCTGTGGATACTAAGACTACTGTGGTAGGTAGCCAGGATATCAATCACACTACATACTGTATACACTACCGGTCAAAAGTTTTAGAACACCTACTAATTCAAGGGTTTGTCTTTATTTTTACTATTTTCTACATCGTAGAAAAAAAGTGAAGACATCAAAACTATGAAATAACACATATGGAATCATGTAGTAACCAAAAAAGTGTTAAACAAATACAAATATATTCTATATTTGAGATTCTTCAAATAGCCACCCTTTGCCTTGATTACAGCTTTGCACACTCTTGGCATTCTCTCAACCAGCTTCATGAGGTAGTCACCTGGAATGTATTTCAATTAACAGGTATGCCTTCTTAAAAGTTAATTTGTGGAATTTCTTTCCGTCCTAATGCATTTCAGCCAATCAGTTGTGTTGTGACAAGGTAGGGGGGGGGGGGTATACAGAAGATAGCCCTATTTGGTAAAAGACCAAGTCCATATTATGGCAAGAACAGCTCAAATAAGTAAAGAGAAACGACAGTCCATCATTACTTTAAGACATGAAGGTCAGTCAATACGGAACATTTCAAGAACTTTGAAAGTTTCTTCAAGTGCAGTCGCAAAAACCATCAAGCGCTATGATGAAACTGGCTCTCATGCGGACCGCCACAGGAATGGAAGACCCAGAGTTACCTCTGCTGCAGAGGATAAGTTCATTAGAGTTACCAGCCTCAGAAATTGCAGCCCAAATAAATGCTTCACAGAGCAATGAACATTAGATGGGTGGAAATGTGTCCTTTGGTCTGGAGTCCAAATTGGAGATTTTTGGTTCCAACCGGCGTGTCTTTGTGAGTCGTGGTGTGGGTGAACGGATGATATCTGCATGTGTATTTCCCATCATAAAGCATGGAGGAGGAGGTGTTATGGTGTGGGGGTGCTTTGCTGGTAACACTGTCTGTGATTTAATTAAAATTCAAGGCACACTTAACCAGCATGGCTACCACAGCATTCTGCAGCGAAATGCCATCCCATCCGGTTTGGGCTTAGTGGGACTATCATTTGTTTTTCAACAGGACAATGACCCAACACGCCTCCAGGCTGTGTAAGGGCTATTTTACCAAGAAGGAGAGTGATGGAGTGCTGCATCAGATGACCTGGCCTCCACAATCCCTCGACCTCAACCAAATTGAGATGGTTTGGGATGAGTCGGATCGCAGAGTGAAGGAAAAGCAGCCAACAAGTGCTCAGCATATGTGGGAACTCCTTCAAGACTGTTGGAAAAGTATTCCATGTGAATCTGGTTGAGAGAATGCCAAGAGTGTGCAAAGCTGCCATCAAGGCAAAGGGTGCCTACTTTTTTGGTTACTACATGATTCCATATGTGTTATTTCATAGTTTTCATGTCTTCACTATTCATCTACAACGTAGAAAATAGTAAAAATTAAGAATATCCTTGAATGAGTAGGTGTTCTAAAACTTTTGACCGGTAGTGTATATGCTGGTTCAGCTATCTCTATTTGATTGGAAAACCTTCATCTCTGCTGCTTGGTTAGATTACTATGAATTATTAACGTGTCTTACACATTTAACCGAAGATCCATATGGGAGTGTAGGACTAGAATCCTATGTTATTCATTGTCAGCAGTGGATGACAACATACAGTGGGGAAAAAAAGTATTTAGTCAGCCACCAATTGTGCAAGTTCTCCCACTTAAAAAGATGAGAGAGGCCTGTAATTTTCATCATAGGTACACGTCAACTATATGACAGACAAGTTGAGAAGAAAAAAATCCAGAAAATCACATTGTAGGATTTTTAATGAATTTATTTGCAAATTATGGTGGAAAATAAGTATTTGGTCACCTACAAACAAGCAAGATTTCTGGCTCTCACAGACCTGTAACTTCTTCTTTAAGAGGCTCCTCTGTCCTCCACTCGTTACCTGTATTAATGGCACCTGTTTGAACTTGTTATCAGTATAAAAGACACCTGTCCACAACCTCAAACAGTCACACTCCAAACTCCACTATGGCCAAGACCAAAGAGCTGTCAAAGGACACCAGAAACAAAATTGTAGACCTGCACCAGGCTGGGAAGACTGAATCTGCAATAGGTAAGCAGCTTGGTTTGAAGAAATCAACTGTGGGAGCAATTATTAGGAAATGGAAGACATACAAGACCACTGATAATCTCCCTCGATCTGGGGCTCCATGCAATGACCTGTGTCATTGCCAACAAATGGTATATAACAAAGTATTGAGAAACTTTTGTTATTGACCAAATACTTATTTTCCACCATAATTTGCAAATAAATTCATAAAAAATCCTACAATGTGATTTTCAGGAGAAAAAAAATCTCATTTTGTCTGTCATAGTGTCACACCCTGGCTCTGGGGACTCTATATGTTGAGCCAGGGTGTGTAGATTCATTGTGTTTTTGTTCTATGTTCACAGTCTAGTATTGTATTTCTATGTTGGCCAGAGTGGTTCCCAATCAGAGGCAACGAGTGTCAGCTGTTGCTGGTTGTCTCTGATTGGGAGCCATATTTAGACAGGCTGTTTTCCCACAGGTGTTGTGGGATCTTGTTCCTTTTGGTTTGTTCCGTGTTGGTTGTTTAACCTAGGACGTCACGTTATTCATTTATTGTTTTGTTCGTGTTATCACTTTGGATAATAAAGTATGTTTGCCTTCAACGCTGCGCCTTGGTCTACTCCGTTCAACGATCGTGACAGAAGATCCCACCATACCAGGACCAAGCAGCGTGTCCAGGAGCAGGCAGCCTGGACGTGGGAACAGATATTGGACGGGCAGGGGTCCTGGACCTGGGAGGAAATCCAGGCCGGGATGGATCGCCGTCCATGGAAGGAAATGGTGGAGGCGCGACGGAGAGAGGAGCAACGGCGTCAACAGGGTCGTCGTCGGACGGACGAGAGGCAACCCCAAATAAATTTTAGGGGGGGGCACACGGCATGGGCGACGGGGCAGCAGGAGGCAGCTACAGGGCGTATTAGGAGGTTAGGTGAGGAGGCCACCAGGTTAAGGGGGCTATTGGTCCAGAGGGAGCAGGAATTAGTGGTTCAGAGGGTGGAGCTACTGGAGGCGATAAGGGAGAAGGTGAGAGTAGAGGCACGGCGAGAGGAACTGTGTAGGCAGCTGAGGGAGCGGAGGGTTATGACGAAACCCAGTCCCGCTCCTCACACCAAGCAAGTGGTGTGCGTCACCAGTCCGGTCCGGCCCGTACCTGCTCCCCGCACTAAGTTGATGGTGCGCGTCGCCAGCCCGGCCTGTTCCTGCCCCTCGCACCAAGCCTACGGTGCGCGTCGCCAGCCCGGCCCGGCCTGTTCCTGCTCCCCGCACCAACCTAATGGTGCGCGTCGCCAGCCCGGCCCGGCCTGTTCCTGCCCCTCGCACCAAGCCTACGGTGCGCGTCGCCAGCCCGGCCCGGCCTGTTCCTGCTCCCCGCACCAAGCTAATGGTGCGCGTCGCCAGCCCGGCCCGGCCTGTTCCTGCTCCCCGCACCAAGCTAATGGTGCGCGTCGCCAGCCCGGCCCGGCCTGTTCCTGCTCCCCGCACCAAGCTAATGGTGCGCGTCGCCAGCCCGGCCCGGCCTGTTCCTGCCACTCGCACCAAGCCTACGGTGCGCGTCGCCAGCCCGGCCTGGCCTGTTCCTGCCACTCGCACCAAGCCTACGGTGCGCGTCGCCAGCCCGGCCCGGCCTGTTCCTGCCACTCGCACCAAACCTACGGTGCGCGTCGCCAGCCCGGCCCGGCCTGTTCCTGCCACTCGCACCAAACCTACGGTGCGCGTCGCCAGCCTGGCCCGGCCTGTTCCTGCCACTCGCACCAAACCTACGGTGCGCGTCGCCAGCCCGGCCCGGCCTGTTCCTGCCACTCGCACCAAACCTACGGTGCGCGTCGCCAGCCCGGTCCGGCCCGTTCCTGCTCCACGCACCAAGCCAGGGGTGCGCATCGTCAGCCCGGTACGGCCCGTTCCGGCTCCACGCACCAAGCCAGGGGTGCGCATCGTCAGCCCGGTCCGGCCCGTTGCTGCTCCACGCACCAAGCCAGGGGTGCGCATCGTCAGCCCGGTCCGGCCCGTTCCTGCTCCACGCACCAAGCCAGGGGTGCGCATCGTCAGCCCGGTCCGGCCCGTTCCTGCTCCACGCACCAAGCCAGGGGTGCGCATCGTCAGCCCGGTCCGGCCCGTTGCTGCTCCACGCACCAAGCCAGGGGTGTGCGTCGTCAGTCCGGCACAATCCGTGCCTGGGTCACCGGTGCCTGGTCAGGTACCGGTCAGCTGCTCCACACCGGAGCTTAAGCAATCCGCTCCTACGATGTCCAGTCCAGCTCCAGCCAGCGGGGCCAGACCGGACCAGGGGCGCTACGGGGGGATTATTGGAGGGTGGTGGGCAAGCCCGGAGCCGGAACCGCCTCCGAGGAGGAATGCCCACCCAGCCCTCCCCTGTTTGGTTTATGTTAAGGCGCGGTCGCAGTCCGCGCCTTTGGGGGGGGGTACTGTCACACCCTGGCTCTGGGGACTCTATATGTTGAGCCAGGGTGTGTAGATTCATTGTGTTTTTGTTCTATGTTCACAGTCTAGTATTGTATTTCTATGTTGGCCAGAGTGGTTCCCAATCAGAGGCAACGAGTCATATTTAGACCGGCTGTTTTCCCACAGGTGTTGTGGGATCTTGTTCCTTTTGGTTTGTTCCGTGTTGGTTGTTTAACCTAGGACGTCACGTTATTCGTTTATTGTTTTGTTCGTGTTATCACTTTGGATAATAAAGTATGTTTGCCTTCAACGCTGCGCCTTGGTCTACTCCGTTCAACGATCGTGACACATAGTTGACGTGTACCTATGATGAAAATTACAGGCCTCTCTCATCTTCTTAAGTGGGAGAACTTGCACAATTGGTGGATGACTAAATACTTTTTTCCCCCACTGTAGGTCTACTGTAAATTAGCTATACGTAGAGACCGGTTGTAAAGAGCCACTGAACACGCCGATTGGCACTGTGTTTTTCTGTTGCTCATTAGAAAACAAAATGTCAGTCTTGGAGGTGTGTTTCCTGAACGATTCAGCGTTTGGTGAAACATGTTTGTCCCCGATGAGACACAGCCTATTTCACTTGTTCAAAATCCCCTGAATGAATCTAAGTTAACTCAAGAAATCTATAATTAATTTTGACGTTTTTGACGAGGATGTTTTAGTTTTAGTTTAATTTTACAACTAACTAAGGTGTTTTGTGCAGTATTTCTCAATTTAAAAAATGCACGACATGTTGTCTTATGTAAACAAAATCGGGCTGCTGGGCAGGTCTGTCTCATTGTCTATGCTATTGGATAGAGAGCAATCACCGCAGCTGTTCACCCCATGTTAGTGCGCAAATGGACATTGTCAAATCAAAACCCAACCTTCATTTACCCGTTGTGACGCACGGATGTTCCAAACACCGTTTTAGACAACTTACTTTATGACCAAAATTATCCTATTTACACTTTGTAGTCAATTTTAATACTAGAATAACTCTTTCTGACTCATATCGATGCCACATTGGCCATTTTCAAAAGGATTTGTTGCTTTTTAAAGGCAGTCACTCTTTAACAACACACTAGCAACTAAGAACTGTGATCTATGTTGCTGTCTATGTTCATATTGTCTATGATCTATGTTGCTTGCAAGTCTAAAGTAGCTGCTTTAAGAATTGCTCTTCTTGGGACTGCCACTGGAAGTCCTTCTCCCCCATTGAACTGCAGGTTGGCATTTATTTTCATGAATATTTCCCTGGAGGCAGCGCTGCAGAGTGGTCACTAGTCTTTTTTTTGTTTTTTAAACCTAACCCTAACCTTAACCACACTGCCTACCCTAATGTCTAACCCTAACCTTAAATTATGCCTAACCCAAATTGCCTAATCCAAATTTTTGTTTTCATGAATGTTTACGATATAGCCAATTTTGACTTTACAGCTGGCCCATCTAGTGGAAATCGCTCAGTTCTGCCTCCAGGGAAAGATTCATTACAATAAACGTCAACCTGCAATTGAACTGGCTAACCCCAGTCTTTGTATGTATCTTGTATGTAGGATTCTGACGGGTGGGTAATAGTAAGTAAAGTCCCTCCTAAGGTATCCGAAAAGAAAAACATTGTCAACTATAAAGTTATGACCGTCACTAACACTGTGGCTGAAGGAGCGCTCGCCGGCACCAGTGGTGGCGTAATCGGCAAGGAGTTGAAACCGTATGAGAGCTTCCACAGCGAACTCACCTCCAAAACCGAGGAGATGAGAGAGAAGAACTATACCCTGGGCAAGTCCTACGACACCATGTCAGGCAAGATCGTCACCATGACAACACGGGCCAAAGATGGCGGGGAGGCGGCGGCGGCTGCTCCGGCGGTGTTCGCCAGGGAGCTGAAGAGGGCGGCAGACCAATCCACCACCACAGTGAAGATCATCCCGGTGTCGACTGAGTATGAGATGCCAGTGTTGGTCCACATGGGTCTCCCGCCCCAGGAGGGAATCGGACCCCCCATGATTACCATCAAGGAGGCCAGGACGCCCTCTCCATCCGAGCCCAGTGACGGTGCGCTGGGCCTGGGCGCCATGCGGACCGTGGTGTCCATCCACTCCAGCCAGGACATCAGTGATGCCGCAAGGGCGGACAGCAGGAAGCAGCTGAGGGAGACTTTTCTCCTGGGAGACAGGAGCACCACCCCTGTTGCGCCTCACACGCCACTCTCGCCGCGCTCCCCCATGGCCAAGTCACCTATGGCAAAGTCTCCCATGACAATGCCCAAGCCTCCAACAGCGGATCTGCGTCTGAGCCCCGGCCCCGTGTCCTATCTATCCAGAACCCCATCGCCCTCCAAAGTGGTAGGATGATATGACACCCCTCCCCCAAAAATGCCTGAAGCCCCCCCCCCCCCATCCATACCCAAAATTTATTTTTTAAAAGCTAGTCCCGCCCCTGTCTGCCTGGTCTTCGTATCTACTGCAACAAGGCCAGACCCGGAGCTGTTTTGCACTCGACTGAATGCTTGGGAGTCTCTTTCTTTCTATCGTTTGCTCTTTTTAGTTGGACACAAATCCCTTAGCCACGGTATTTGGTGTAATTTGTTCACTGCTTTCCTAAGCCAAACTTGCTGCCTCATGGGCACTGGCGTTTGTTTACCCCTTTCATTTCGATTTATAAATGAAAATCGGGTTTCGTTTTAAGCTGGTTGCCTATGCTGCTAGCCACACCAAATGAATGCTTTACACTTTGGCTTATGGTACGGTACGGTATACTATGGTTTGTATGCCACTGACTGCTTCAGCCCTGCCACTTTTAATTTGACTTCCCTTGGTATGCACTCTCTGAACTCTCGGCTGCTTGATCTGAGATGATGATATGGGCCCTATTCATAAGAGGAGACATCCTGACTCACAAGACATACTTGTCTGTCTCATCTATTGCCTTTGTGACTGACATTCTCAAGAGATGAAAGCCAAATACTGAGCTGCCATTAGGTCCCCCTAGCAAAGTTGATGAAAGCCAAATACTGAGCTGCCATTAGGTCCCCCTAGCAAAGAATTGCTGACGATGCTCCACTCTTTTGTAGAAGTGCTATAAATGTATAAAAGCTCTAGTGAAGTGATTGACATGTCACAGGGTGGTGTTTCTATCAATTGCTCAGAATAGTGTAATATAGCATACAAACATGGATTAAAAACCAAATTGATAAACACTGGCATTTTAGCATATTCTGACACAAGTTGATCACTTTAAACCATTGAAATCACTCTAGGTTGTGATTGATAGAATACTTTAAGAGTACTTAAGAATTAAATCTTAACATTTCGTACAAACCCAATCTTCTCAAACCCAATCTTCTAAAATCAATCTTCACCTCAATGCTCTTATGAATAATCCCCACCAACCCCCGTCCCCTGAGCTTGTGTCTGGGGATTGTGTCAAAGGCCTGTCTGTCTCTCTGTCTCTCCTCCTTTGTATGTACAGTATCTAACTGTGTGTGTGTCTCTCTTCTACTCCTGTGTATGTGTGTACTCCACATCTCTCTGTCTGCTCAGCCTAAGCCAACCTTTGAGGAGATGTCCCCGGAGCTCACCGCTCTCTTACAGTCAGCCCGATATCAGACCAGCACGCAGGGTTGGACTGCCTCGCCTGCCCATAGTCAGGCCCTGCTCAAGGTGGCCTCTTATGCCCTATGGACAATATACAACTTAACAAATGGGATAATAGCAGTGGTAGTGCATGCATATCATTTATTTGATTTGATTTCAACTTTATGTATACAGGTTATTCACATTGACATAACATCTCTTTTGTTAGAGACCTGTTCAGTATCTATACTGTTTGTCCCTGATGTGTTTGTCCTTGTTGGTGAGGAAATGTTGTCGCTGTAGCCACTATGTTGTCTGTCAGGCATTTCTGTCATCGCCCCTTGCCTGTTCCCTGTCAGTCCGTCCGTCCTTCCTCCCGATCATTAAAACAGAGGACAGGTTTATGAGGACACATGGTTTGTCTAGACAGAGGCACCACATGGTCCTCCGACTTTATTAAGGAGGAATGTGAGGGCATTATCCAGCCGCATATTTGATTTTGCAACCCTACTCCACTTTTAGAACATATCGTTACCTGAAAGTGGAAAACAAAGCGATCATGCAATGCACCCAATTTTAAATGACAACATGCATTCAGAAGATCACATCGTTACTAACATATAAAGTAACCCATTCCTGCTGTATGGAAGCAGAGTCGTGCTATTTCTCTTTGTTTTAGCATTTGATTCCATACTAGGCCTACAGTATATTGAAGTGCACACACAGGTTCAAGAAGACTGACTGTGACGTCTTGTTTGTTTCCTTTGCTAGACAACAGAGAAGATGGAGCGGATCATGCTGCAGACAGAGGTGGTATCATCCCAGCAAACAGAAGAGGTTGAGGATCAGCTGAAAGAACAGCCGGCAGAGGACCAGGAGCCGCCGGTCGAGAAACAGCCTGAGCAGCCTGAGCAGGTAGAGACAGACTCATTGGGAGGGATAGAGGACGATAGGCCTCAGTCCGTGTTTGGGTTTACAGGGACGCGCATGCATGATGATGACTCGGACGACTCGGACACGCCCAGCGAGGCGAGTGACACTAGCGGAGGCGCTAGTATAGCCTCCACGGAGCCTACCCTAACTGCCATGGCCCAGGCCGCCGTGGACGAGGCTGTAGGGGCGGCGATGAAGCAGACGGAGGCTGAGGAGGAAACTCCAGGTGGAGGCCTGGGGCTGGACAGTCAGTCGGAGGGAGAGGTGTCAGCAGGCTCAGGTGGAGGCCTGGGGCTGGACAGTCAGTCGGAGGGAGAGGTGTCAGCAGGCTCAGTCTCAGAGGAGGAGAAAGAGAACAGCCAGGACTGGAGAGGGCGCTTTGTGCCCCCCTCCTTCATGCCCCCCTCTCCTACAGGAGCATCCTGGCAGAGTCTCAGTGGGGAGGTAGCTGCTGCTAGAGCTCACTCAGAGGTAACACCCCAAAGAGCCCCAACATTTTCCCTAGTTGTCCAGTAGTACCTCCTCATAAAGTGCCCTATCCTCAACTCTCCTTCCCAAAGCTAGCTGAAACTACCCGTCTCACATTCCTTTTTGCCAATGCTACTTAGAAAGTGCTCAATCTATCCGAGTCTTACCCTCCCAATCACCTGTAATATCACTCGAAAGCGGCTCCCAAAAATGATCCCAATATTGGCCTCCCGTTTACCTATAAACCCAATAAGCAGTATTACCACTGGATAAGCTACACATCTCTCCCAGTCCTGCCCCTCCTCTTCACCAATAATAGCAGTCAGCCATTACAGCCTGTGGAGCTGTGTGTGGTGATGTGCAGGTGGGGAAAATAATGTCCCGGTTTCCTGTTTCCTGTCCTTGTTTCTGCCCACTGGGTTTTCTATTGGAAATCATTACCCTGGCCAGGCAGGCTGTACATACTGCAAGCTGCAGATACAAGCTACTGTATGTATTACCAAGTAGCAGTATTGAAAACTGTAGTGGAAGATTGCATAGAAGGAGGTCTGTGTGTGTGTCTGTGTGTGTGTCTGTGTGTGTGTGTGTGTGTGTGTGTTGTGTGTGTGTGTGTGTGTGTGTGTGTGTGTGTGTGTGTGTGTGTGTGTGTGTGTGTGTTCGTTCTTGGAGCGGCAAGATAAACGTTACATTCGAATATTTCGACCTGCACATTTACACACAGTTTCACATCGGAAATGGTCCATATCCCTTCCTGACAGTATTGCCTCATTTCCCCAATGTTCCCATAGATTACCTTTGTGGCAATCATGAGTGGCAATAATTGAAATGTTTTATGGACACGCGTCTATGAGAAGCACAGATTAAATAGATAGCAGTCTGCTGCTATCAATTAAGTTTTGAGTCCACAGCCAATTTCAATTATATGGACTGTTTCAGTGAAAGCAAACAGGAATTGTTTATAAATACATACAATCCTGCCATGTAGACCAATTTGGCCTTCTCCAAAATGAATGAATAGGCTTCCACACATCCAAGTAAAGCTTCAGCTAAATAAGACTTACTCAGTGGTGAACTGTGATGAGTTCTGTCATGCACGACTCAGACTGACTGAAGTGTAAATCTCTTTACCTTTGTTCTTTGGTCAGGGTCCAAAAGGTACCTGGGTGATGCACAGAAGTGTTGTAACCTCTTTCATCAGGAAAAAATGTTTTTGTTGTTAGTGTAAACGTTTGACATTTTCTTTCTTTGTAACACAAAATCCACCCTTATTCTTAGCTTTGGGATTTTATGTTATTATTTGATGGAAGATTCATTTATTTCATTTTGAATATTTTATCAGAGAGAGCATGCATCTCATGAATGGTCCACAATTATTCAGACAATCCTTAAAGGAAAAATCCACCCAAAACCACGCATTCCTATAATTTACAGTGTTAAATAACACTAATATGTGAGAACAATATTTTTTGTGAACAAATTTTTTATTTTGTCGTTATAATAAGGTTTGTAGCAACATGTAAAAATCGTTATGGAAATCTGTTGCAGCTTAAGTCGACTACAAAACCTACAATGCAATGCTCTCTCTAAGGGCTGGCTGGCTGGCTAGCTACAATAATACCAAAGTCAATATCAGCATGTGAAGTAGCTAGTTAGCTGTAAAATCGCCTAAACAAAATGCACTGTCAATTTAGGTGTTAACAATCTCACCATGTTCAACCTGCAGATCGAGGTGCCTCACAGAGTCTGACATTCACAATGGCCATGCAACGGCACCATGCAATGCATCCTGGACTGAAGAGGCAGACAAATAGGAGAAATGTACTAGACCCTCTGTTAAACTTCACATTTCTTGAGGTAGGAATATCGCTAAAATATGATCAATGGCTCGTTCGAAAGAAGACAACCTCCTGCGTTATGACATCGGCCAGTATTGAAATCTGACATGTATGATAGACGTTTTCACGATCTAAAAGTCGTATTCCTATTAACTTCCAGTGTAGTGAGAGCGGCTTTATCGCAGTGCTATGTCATACCAGCAGAATTTCTGCCTGCTTGAACGGCAATAGCTAATATACACATGAAAACATGAAATGTCCCAGGGAAGCGATAGAACATCACTCAGAGATGCACAAAAACAATATAACATTCAAAATGGGTGAATCTTTCCTTTAAGAGTTTTTCCATTTTCTTCTCCTGCATTTTCTATGACCTTCCAATAAACTAATTGCTTGTGTATGACCTGTAGACAGACGGTGAAATTCTAATTGTGTGTGTGTGTGGTCATGAACATGTTTGTGCGTAGGGGTACACGAGCCTGTGGCCATAAGGTAGAAAGATCTCATTTTCTGCACCGGTCTAATTTTGTCTATCTCTCCATTTCACCCCTCTTCCTCTCTCTCAGTCATCTGTGCTGGAGTCTCCAGAGGTCCTGATCTTCAACAGGGCAGACGTGACGGAGGAGACTGAGACGCTGGTGACCCAGGAGGTACCTGGAATACACACGGAAATGAAAACCATCACATACCGGTCACTGGAGGTAAAGTTCCTCACAAAACGTCAGGGTTGTTCAGTCTCATGCTCTATACTGGTTCTTCTCATATACTCCAATGTGCATCTTTTTGACCTCATTCATTAGGGCATACAATATAAAACCTTTTAAAATGTTTTGAAACAGAAAACCAAAATGAGCCCAGGGAGTTCCTCATTGTTTTAGTCTGTTTTCTTCCGTTTGGTGCCTAATGAACACGACCCTATTCTTCTATCCAATGGAGAGGATTAATTGTGTCTGTTGTTCCAGGGCGACGCTGACACTGATCCCGAGGCAGGGGTGTTGATGAGCGCCCAGACCATCACCTCAGAGACCACCAGCACCACCACAACCACACATATCACCAAGGTAGGTACTACCTGACCCGGCCTCAGGGGGCGCCACTGTCATTCACCATCAGCATGAATGAATAGGGGCATGAGTGAATAGAGCAGGGATCATCAACTACACTGAACAAAAATATAAACGCAACATGCAACAATTTTAAAGATTTTACTGAGTTACAGTTCATATGAGGAAATCAGTCAATCAATTGAACTACATTCATTAGGTCCTAATCTATGGATTTCACATGACTGGGAATACAGATATGTATCTGTTGGTCACAGATACATTTAAAAAAGGTAGGGGCGTGGATCAGAAAACCAGTCAGTATCTGGTGTGACCACCATTTACCTCATGCAGCGTGACACATCTCCTTCGCATAGAGTTGATCAGGCTGTTGATTGTGGCCTGTGGAATGTTGTCCCACACCTCTTCAATGGCTGTGCGAAGTTGCTGGATAGTTTTGGGAACTGGAACACGCTGTCGTACACGTCGATCCAGAGCATTCCAAACTTGCTCAATGGGTGACATGTCTGATGAGTATGCAGGCCATGGAAGAACTGGGACATTTTCAGCTTCCAGGAATTGTGTACAGATCCTTGTGTCATGGGGCTGTGCATTATCATGCTGAAACATGAGGTGATGGTGGCGGATGAATGGCACAACAATGGGCCTCAGGATCCCGTCATGGTATCTCTGTGGATTCCAATTGCCATGGATAAAATGCAATGGTGTTCGTTGTGCGTAGCTTATCCCTTATACACAACGTTGACATCAGCAAACCGCTCGCCCACACGACACCATACACGCCATTTTCCCGGTATAGTTTAAACCGGGATTCATCCATGAAGAGCACACTTCTCCAGCGTGCCAGTGGCCATCGAAGGTGAGCATTTGCCCACTGAAGTCGGTTACGACGCCAAACAGTCAGGTCAAGACCCTGGTGAGGACGACGAAGCAGATGAGCTTCCCTGAAACGGATTCTGACAATTTGTGCAGAAATTCTTTGGTTGTGCAAACCCCCAGTTACATCAGCTGTCCAGGTGGCTGGTCTCAGACGATCCCACAGATGAAGAAGCCAAATGTGGAGGTCCTGGGCTGGCGTGGTTACACGTGGTCTGCGGTTGTGAGGCCGGTTGGACGTACTGCACAATTTTCTTAAACGACATTGGAGGCGGCTTATGGTAGAGAAATGAACATTCAATTCTCTGGCAACAGCTCTGATGGACATACCTGCAGTCAGCATGCCAATTGCACGCTCCCTCAAAACTTGAGACATCTAAGCATGTGCTTTTTTGTTGTGTGACAAAACTGCACATTTTAAAGTGGCCTTTTATTGGCCCCAGCACAAGATGCACCTGTGTAATGATAATACTGTTTAATCAGCTTCTTGATATGCCACACCTGTCAGGTGGATGGATTATCTTGGCAAAGGAGAAATGCTCACTAACAGGGATGTAAACAAATTTGTGCAAAAAATTGAGAGAAATAAGGTTTTTGTGCGTATGGAACATTTGTAGGATCTTTTATTTCAGCTAATAAAACATGGGACAAACACTTTACATGTTGCGATTATATTTGTGTTCAGTATAGATTCAGCCGCAGGCTGATTGTTTTCTTGAGTGGATGGTCAGGGGTCCGGAACATAATTACAAATAATTTGCAGACAAATTGACCGCAAGAAGCCCAAACAAATAATAATTTCAAACCTTGCCTACATTTGTATACGATCACATACATGTACTGTATCTCTATTATGTGTGGGAATACTTTGGAACAGATTTCCAAAATGTAAATCATTTGGAGCTGATTTGCTGGTGTTTTTACAGTTTTTTTATGTACAAAATAAATTACTAATAAATTGCTCAATAAACTTGGGATCCAAATAAAGCTGCCAGTTGGGGAACCCTGGAATAGAGGATATGGATATCACTGGTCTGTTAGTGGTGTAGCTATAGAATTTAACTTACAAGGTGGTTCCTATGGCTCAGTTGGTTTGAGCTCCCACATGCTGTATACCAAATATATTTAAATATAGTTCGACTTAGTTGTTCCTTGACTGAAATGTCCCTTAAATTCCATTTGATTGTTTACCAGACTGTGAAAGGAGGCATCTCGGAAACGAGGATAGAGAAGAGAATCGTCATCTCTGGGGATGCAGACATTGACCATGACGAGGTAGGAAGACATTAATGTCCCCTCACTCTGACACGGTGTGTCCTTTAGCATGCAAGTAGCCTTACAGCTTTTAAATAGGCGTAGCTATGTTAACAACGCAGGTGGTACCTGGATACAATGCTGATAATATTGGGTTCCTTACTCAGCGGGCAATGACATCATTATGGCGTCTTTTATGATGTCATGGTCAGGCTGTATACTAGTTATAACAAGTTTTGTTATCATCTTTTTAGCAACCAGAAAAATACGTCTTTATCAGGTTGTAATCTGACTAGATAACAATATGACGTCTTTTCCATCACGTGTTAATGTTGTCATGAACAATACGTAAAAATAAAAAAAATAGTATTTACCTGGTTGCTACAGAAACCAGTTGGTTGTAATCTGGTTATATGGCCGCTTCTCAACCTGAATAACAGTTTACAACCAGAAAATGACGTCAATTAGACATACATTTCTAAATTCTGCCTGCTGGGTACTGTGTTGAGAGATTTGTATTTAAGTGACTTATAGCTCTGTTGTTCAACAGCTGAGGTCCGTGACCGGTAGATATACACACACAGTGACGAACGTGTACACACACAGTGACGAACGTGTACACACACCGTGACGAACGTGTACACACACAGTGACGAACGTGTACACACACAGTGACGAACGTGTACACACACAGTGACGAACGTGTACACACACAGTGACGAACGTGTACACACACCGTGACGAACGTGTACACACACCGTGACGAACGTGTACACACACAGTGACGAACGTGTACACACACAGTGACGAACGTGTACACACACAGTGACGAACGTGTACACACACAGTGACGAACGTGTACACACACCGTGATGAACGTGTACACACACAGTGACGAACATGTACACACACAGTGACGAACGTGTACACACACAGTGACGAACGTGTACACACACAGTGACGAACGTGTACACACACACATACTGTGACTAGTCCAACCCTTACCCTTGTGATTCTGATCATGCCCATTCCACTTTCCTCTCTGTTTCCCTCCATGGGGTGTTTGGCGTATTGTCTCTTTAGGCCTTGGCTCAGGCCATAAAAGAGGCCAAAGAGCAGCACCCTGATATGTCAGTGACAAAAGTAGTGGTCCACAAAGAGACTGAGATCACGCCCGAGGAGGGCGACGAGTGACCGCAGGTAAGGGGACAACGTCGGTCAGTCAGTGACGGCTGGGGTTGGCTGGCAGGACACTGACAACGTACCCGCTCCATTCCATCCTCATCTACCCTCTGCCTCCTTGGCTGTCTACAGTCACCGCCTTCTCAATAGGGCTGCTTGACGCTCAGCTAGCTGTACTAACCTGAGGCTGCTTTCAGCTTTTCAGCTTTCACTCCACATTCATCTGTGCCCCGCGCAGTATCATGATTCCTTCTGTGTGGATGGAGTCTCTATATACTGTATAGCCTTCCATGGCTGGCTTCTGTAGCTGAAATGTCTGCTCTGGAAATGTTATTGGTGCTAACGTTTGCTTTTTCCTTTCAGCTTCTAATACTATTATTGACAATAAGCAATTAAAACGTTGTGTTTGCTCATTGGGGTGTGCAAAATTTTGAGTTGGGTTTTAATTTATGTCTATAGTGCCCTCTGCTGGACGTCTCTTGTACTGTTTAGAGTGTACTAGAAATATCAACAGTGCGGTTTTCAAATTGCCAGTTTGTCTCATTCCTATTAAATAAGGGGTTATTTCGAGAGTGTATTGAGCAACATTATCTGATTTCATCATTATTTTCTGGTTATTGTTATGGCATAATGCTCAAGAAGGAGACACCATTTTACATTTCTTATTGTCAAGGTTTCTGTACTCTGTAATATGTTACCAGAGCTTGTGCTTGCTTGGCAGGGGCTGTATAGTCTAGTGGATTAACCCTTTTGATTTATTTTTGTCATGTCTTAGCATGCAGCATGTGTGATACTGTGTTTGTACTTGTCTCATAAGTATTAGTTTAGATGGAAAAGGTTTTTTCTGCCGATAACAGACAAAGCATTGACTGTCTTTCACATGACGTCTCTCATGCTTTGCTTTTAATCTTCAGCCATAACAGCTTCCCCTTACAGGAAAATCACATGATTTCACATGAAATTTCACATGTGAAATCATGTGAATACATGTGTTTTTGGAACACTTCACGTGTGATCACGTTTTCAAATGTGAAGTTTAATGTTGCTTTACATGTTGTCACATGTTATCACATTAACTTCACATAAGATCACATGTGATAACATAAAAACATGTGTTTTTGGAACACTTCACGTGTTCATGTAAAATTAATGTGTTTTTTCCTTAAGGGTTATCTTCAGCCATAACAGCTGCAGTAACAGAAAACATTTCCTTGATTTCCTTCCTTCTGAAAAAGATGTTAGAGAATGTGAATGTTCAGCATTCTGTTTCATCTAAGCATGTGCTCTATAAGGATACTCTCTCTGTTTTTCAGGATTGAAGGATCACCGGGTTCACCGACGTTTCGGGAGCATTCTGTTAACGTTACTTCACGCTGTTCAGAGTATGGGATGCAAGCAGGATACTGACGTTGCCAACAGACACCACACCACTGTAGAGGACACTACTACTACTGCATCTGACCACTACTGGACTAACCTAACCCACACTCCCTCACTAACATTACTGGCAAACACAAACCTCCAAAGCTGGCCAGCCCTTCATCGGAACATGTATACTGCATGAAAAGGGATCATTTCTGCATTTTTGTAAAGGAGAAAACAAATACATTTGAGGAAATATCAAAATATATACATGTTTTACTTGACCTGTGCACTCAGGCTCAAAGGGAAAATAATGTATGTGATGAGAATTTGGAGAATTATGATAGTATACTCTGTTTTATTTATTATCAAACTATAATAATAGTAGCTAGGCTGAATGTGTATGATGGCACAATATTTATCCATGCAATAGATGTGCCATTAATCTTGCCATAATTCCCCTTATTTATCCCAAATGCTGATTTTATTCCAGTTTACATACAGTATTGCCTGTAAAAAGGCAAAAATAGTATGTATGGTACTGGTACGTACATTTGCTTAGTAGGCCATATACCCTCGAAGATGATTTTGTTGTGTTTACTTTAATTGTAAATATGTTCATTTGGTTTTCCTTCAGTTACAAAGTAAAGATGAGGATGATGAGGCAAAATCTCGTAGAATTGTGTGTTAGAAGGGAATGTTAAACAGACTCCATTACTGTGACTTCCGAGTTGATCAAGAAAACCCTTATAATATGTCTTCACGTGGTGGTCGGTGGATTTAACTTTCTTCTTGGGTTGTATCTGAAATGACAACCTATTCCCTATATAGTGGACTCTGGTCAAAAGTAGCGTACTATATAGAGAATAGAGTGCCATTTTAGACAGTCTTGCTCATTCTTAAATCATACCCATCATCCTCCTCTCATCCCTGCGTGGCACATCCAAGCCTTAAAACTGTGAAGAACGGACAGACAACAACCTCCAGTACAACCCTGCAATGTGTGTTTGTGTGCTTGATTTCTCCAAGGCCGATGTGTAAGCGGCCATCCCACACAGGGGCATCATGCTCTTTGAACCTGAGGTGTTACCATCGGGTGGCACATGCTCCCCTCAATGTAATCAACTGGGATGAGAATGCATCATTAGCAGTGTCTTATATAGAATGAAAACTAAGACATTATATGTTTGGTCTTCGGTCCCCCCTCAGAGATATTAAGAGCATGATGCCTCTAATCCCACTCCTTCAACTCATCAGCTGCAAAATCATCCATGTTGAATGTGTTTCACACAAGATAAATAAAATGATAAATACATTGGGTTGGATCTATGTTGTTCTTTATTTGTCAATCACTGAAATTCTATTTGTGTTGTGCTTTCATAAACTCATGGCAGGAACTCTACAGTGAAGCCATTTACAGTAAGGTAATGACTTTTACAAGTTTGAGTGACACTAGACCACTACTTCCTCTTTTACTCTTCTTCTAAATATTTGCTAATTATTTATGAATGGAACCCTGCTGAAAGGAAAGGTGTGACAAAATGGGTGGTTGTACTTTCACTGAACACGCATACTCAGAGTCAAGTGACAGTGAAGTGTTGCATGTAGTGTAAATCACTTCGGTTGTGTGTAACAGACTAATAATAATAGCCAGGCCAAATGACCATCAGCAAGACAGTTACTTTGAATGATTCATGAGAAGCAGTATTTGGTAGGAACCAGAAATATGTGATAATTCAGTTCCACAACAGCATTGTCTAAAGAGCAACCTAACCAGTCAGAAACCAGGGCCTGTATTCAAAAAGCATCCCAGAGTAGGAGTGCTATTTAGGCTCCCAGTCAGACTCAGTCTGCTTTGTGATCGCACTGCTCAAAGGATGCTGGACGCTTACAGCTGTTTGTCACGAATCAAATTAGCCTTTTGAACAGTAGCCTATATGTGTTAGAACATACCATATCTATCTACTGGATCTATCTTTTTGTGTTAGTGAAATGGAAATGGCTGAAATGACCTGAAATGGTTCTCAACCCAATTAAGTAAGAGTTAATACACTCTCTTGTTCCTGCTTAAATTATGCAATATAGAAATGTTTCAAATGTGTCTTCGGCTCTGCAAAATCATTTTTGGTGTATGGAAAAAATATCCAGTACCCACAATGTATTTTCCATCGCAGATTTAGCCTTTTATGGCATATTGGATTTGGCTTTCCTCCAGTTCAGAGTGCAACTTCACCAATGAAACATGAAGTCAACTGTGAAGGCACAGCTTGTCTGGCATGATGAGGCAGATGGGGACATTGTTCCAATGGCTGGATAAGCATTATGTTAATTTTTCTAATTCCCCTATAGGCTTCAAGATAGGGTACTCTGAACACAAACCATGACAAATACACTGAGTGTACAAAACATTAGGAACACCTTCCTAATATTGAGTTGCACCCCTTTTTGCCCTCAGAACAGCCTCAATTCGTTGAGGTATGGACTACAAGGTGTCTAAAGCGTTCCACAGGGATGCTGGCCCATGTTGACTCCAATGCTTCCCACAGTTGTGTCAAGTTGGCTGGATGTCCTTTGGGTGGTGGACCATTCTTGATACACATGGGAAACTGTTGAGTGTGAAAAACCCAGTAGCGTTGCAATTCTTGACACACTCAAACCGGTGCGCCTCGCCTTGCACCTACTACCATACCCCATTCAAATGCCCTTACATATTTTGTCTTGCCCAGTCACCATCTGAATGGCACACATACACAATCCATGTCTCAATTGTCTCAAAGCTTAAAAATCCTTCTTTAACCTGTCTCCTCCCCTTCATCTACACTGATTGAAGTGGATTTAACCTGGTCAGTCTATGTCATGTTTTGTCCACTCAGTGTATGTCCATGGTGCAATCCAATGGTTGAAGAAATGTGCAGCACATTAAATACGAATGACATTTACAAATGTGGTTTATTTTTGTATCATAATAGAAATATTGGAATGAATATCTCTCTTTCCTGACATATACTACATTAGGAATCATTATGCAATGGGGCATCACCAATTAGCATTAATTACTGCATTGCAGTAGAGACTGAAAGAATATTGCTTTAATGTAATTTAGGCATTTACATTTAGAATACTAATAGAATACCACTGAAGGGAACCATGCCATCCAATTACCAATGTCCATTTATTTCTCCATTTCACTTGAGGACCATCAGAAAATGGGGGTACATTCATTTAGGGGTACATTCATTGTGAAAATAGTTTCTCTTTTATGGATTATTATTATTAAAACAGTATTGTAAAATCAACATTTGATGTGGTATTTCTACCTATTCATCAAATTATTACGAGTGGTGCCATGTCAAACGCTAGTTTGACACTCCGTGCGTGCACACCTGTACAACGGTGGAACAGTAGCTCGAATTATTGAATCTCTCTATCATCCAATGACTGTATGAAGGTATACTCTCAGTAAAAAGCGCTCTCGCTCGTGAGTAGCTTTCGCGACCCAAATCTGCTCCCGTTTTCCGTCGCGCTCCAGAGACTCCAGAGACACAGTCACCAGTGTGGTTTCTGCTTGTTGTGTTGTATTTACGCCTCGATCGTAATCGCATCCATTTACAATTTACGTACGTACCATAGAGATGAGGACTGATCTTTGTATCTGTGCCATTACAGTGTCTGTGACACTGGCAGAGGCGTCATGCACATAGATTTGTCCTGTTTTTAAAATGTCAGATGTTAAATTAATTTCAAAACTTAATTTTTAAGCCCACGTTTTATCATAATTATTTAAAGATCTGTTAGCGGTATTTTGCGGTGGGGGCACATTAACTGTACCAAGTAAAGAGTACCTCCCTTATTCTCCCTAAGTGGTTCCTTCCAAGGTGCACAATGAAGCGAAGTAGAGTGATACACACAGCATTTGATTTGATTTTAGCTGCCGGTGATGGGCAGGACTCGCAGAAGTTATGTTTGTAAATACATTTGATCAAGCTATATACCTATTGATTCCTTCTTGATGAATAAATAAAACAAAAATGTTTTGTTGTTTCTCTTTAATACTAGCCACCTAGCAATTTTATGAAGTTGGCTTTAGCTAGCCACCTACACTACAGGTGAAATGTTTTAGAACACCTACTCATTCAAGGGTTTTTCTTTATTTGTACTATTTTCTATATTGTAGAATAATAGTGAAGACATCAAAACTATGAAATAACACATATGTAATCATGTAGTGACCAAAAAAGTGTTAAACAAATCAAAATATATGTTATATTTTAGATTATTCAAATAGCCACCCTTTGCCTTGATGACAGCTTTGCACACTCCTGGCATTCTCTCAACCAGTTTCATGAGGTAGTCACCTGGAATGCATTTCAATTAACAGGTGAGCCTTGTTAAAAGTTAATTTGTGGAATATATTTCCTTATTAATGCGTTTGAGCCAATCAGTTGTGTTGTGACAAGGTAGGGTTGGTATACAGAAGATAGCCCTATTTGGTAAAAGACCAAGTCCATATTATGGCAAGAACAGCTCAGATAAGCAAAGAGAAACGACAGTACATCATTACTTTAAGACATGAAGGTCAGTCAATCTGGAACATTTCAAGAACTTTTAAAATTTCTTCAAGTGCAGTCGCAAAAACCAACAAGCGCTATAATGAAACCGGCTCTCATGAGGACTGCCACAGGAATGGAAGACCCAGAGTTACCTCTGCTGCAGAGGATAAGTTCATTAGAGTTACCATCCTCAGAAATCGGCAATTAACTGCACCTCATATTGTAGCCCAAATAAATGCTTTACAGCGTTCAAGTAACAGACACATCTCAACATCAACTGTTCAGAGGAGACTGCGTGAATCAGGCCTTCATGGTCGAATTGCTGCAAAGAAACCACTACTAAAGGACACCAATAAGAAGAAGAGACTTGCTTGGGCCAAGAAACACGAGCAATGGACATTAGATGGGTGGAAATCTGTCCTTTGGTCTGATGAGTCCAAATTTGAGATTTTTGGTTCCAACCTCCGTGTCTTTGTGAGACGCAGAGTAGGTGAACAGATAATCTCCACATGTGTGGAGAAAAAAAAAAAAAAAATGTGTGGTTCCCACCGTGAAGCATGGAGGAGGAGGTGTGATGGTGTGGCAGTGCTTTGCTGGTGACACTGTTGGTGATTTATTTAGAATTCAAGGCACACTTAACCAGCATGGTTACCACAGCATTCAGCAGCGATACGCCATCCCATCTGGTTTTCCCTTAGTGGGACTATCATTTGTTTTTCAACAGGACAATGACCCAAAACACACTTCCAGGCTGTGTAAGGGCTATTTGACCAAGGAGAGTGATGGAGTGCGGCATCAGATGACCTGGCCTCCACAATCACCCGACCTCAACCCAATTGAGATGGTTGGGGATGAGTCAGATCGCAGAGTGAAGGAAAAGCAGCCAACAAGTGCTCAGCATATGTGGGAACTCCTTCAAGACTGTTGGAAAACCATTCCTCATTAAGCTGGTTGAGAGAATGCCAAGAGTGTGCAAAGCTGTCATCAAGGCAAAGGGTGGCTACTTTGAAGAATCTAAAATATATTTTGATTTGTTTAACACTTTTTTGGTTACTACATGATTCCATATGTGTTATTTCATAGTTTTGATGTCTTCACTATTATTTTTACAGTGTAGAAAATAGTACAAATAAAAAAAAAACTTTGAATGAGTAGGTGTGTCTAAACTTTTGACTGGTACTGTCTATATAGTGTAACTTACAAACGCAGTATTGTGGTTTAGTGCGTCTGCCAGATCAGAGGCAGTAGGGATGACAATGTGTTGTATTGTGTGAATTGGACCATGTTGCTGTCCTGCCTGAGCATTCAAAATGTAACGAGTACTTTTGGGTGTCAGGAAAAATGTATGGGAGTTAAAAGTACATCTGTTCTTTAGAGAGGTAGTGGAGCAAAAGTAAAAGTTGTCAAAAATATAAATAGTAAAGTAAAGTACAGATACCGGCAAAAACTACTTTAAAGTATTTTTACTAAGTTGCTTTACAGCACTGCTAGATAACCTATCAAGGAAAATGTATATATATTTTTTACATAGAATTAAGCATAATAATTATGTGCATGACGCCCCTCTGTGACAGCAATAGGCAGCTCCATTTTAAAGTAGTCAATTTTCTTATTGCTTCCAACTCAGAAATTCCCACCCAGTTGACTACTTTAAAATGGTGGTGGAAGCCCTCAATGGCAAGGTCAATGCTAAAACAGGTTATATCCATGATGAGTCCTCTATCTATCTCTATGGTACTTACGCGCATAGTCACTCAAATTCTGCAGTTCCGTGCTGGCGAAGCGCGTCCTTCCGCTTATGCTCGTCCTCAGGCCAACGACACACAAAGTGTATTATTCTTGTTTGACTGCTTGACATTAATCGGAGACTTTCTCAAGGGGACAACATATTGTACTACAGGTAAGAAACCGATTTTTAGCGAATCAGATCCGTTTCCGAAATATTACATAATGTTTAACCAAGATGACTGCGCGCTCACGGTTTCAGCAAAAGCTCGAGTTCGTCATTTCAGGAGTGTTCATGGCTGCTCGGGCTTTTTCTGTGCTAGTGTGACAGGCGCTTCCTCGCGTGCTTGTAGCTAGTCGGATAGCCACCCCTCTCTCCCGCTGTTCAGAATGTGACGGATAGTGTTGTTGTCGTTTACATCGACATAAATTACGATTTTACGACCGTGCTAAAACCAAGATAAACATCCTAGTCATGCTCTGTTGAATTCAATTCGAATGGATGCCCAGATGGATGCAAACAATAGCTAACTAAAGGTTAGCATTTAGGCTAGTTAACCAGTTAGCTACCCTTCCCATATCTAACGCTATTTTGCAAGCGTTCCAATATGTTTAACGTTACTGTATGCATGCAAGGTTGTTAGCTAGCTCGCATATGATATGTATTGCTATTAAGCAAACAGGCCAATTTATCATGTGCAACGTTATAGAATTAGTTTTTTTCTGGGTTGAAACTGATCCAAATCAAAGTAATGCGATTGTATCTGCCTAGATTAAATGTACCCAACAAACATTAATCCATCACAAACCTTGATTGATATTGTTTAGTAAAAAAAACGCTATTCAATGAAATGATTGTACGATGTGCCTAGAATATTTCCCTCTGGTCATCTGATGCATGTCAGGAGGGGATGTTAAAAGCTTGCTAAATGATAGCATAAATAGGTTACTATCACAGTAATGCCCTCTTATCCCAGACATGCACACAGATTACTACATTTATTAGGTCGATATGATAATAAATGCTGAAAAAAAGTATAGCCTTTTTAGTCAGCCCAATATTCTGCCCCGCAACAGCCATTATGGTGTCACCCAGAGGAACATCATATATCGGGCCATGACACAGTGCAGTGGCTAATGATTCACAATGTGGGTACTGTTTTAGGATATTATGAGTATACTGTTGAAGGCCTATTTCCCAATGGTTCAGAGTGAAGTGTGTAACCGACATCTAACAGCATTATTTCTAATTTGTTCCAGAATATCAGTCGAAGATGTCAGAGACAGTGAAGTACATGGATGATGAACACAAGGCCATCTTCCTGAAGATACTAAATGAGCAACGGTTGGAGGGTGAACACTGCGACATCGCGGTGGTGGTTGAAGATGTGAAGTTCAGGGCCCACCGCTGTGTGTTAGCGGCGTGCAGCAACTACTTCAAAAAGCTGTTCAAGAAGCATGAAGTCGACAACTCCTCAGTCATAGAAATCGACTTCATCCGCTCAGACATCTTCGAGGAGGTATTGAACTACATGTACACAGCCAAGATTTCTGTGAAGAAAAAGGATGTGAATTTGATGATGTCTTCGGGCCAGATACTCGGAATCCGATTTCTGGACAAACTCTGTTCACAGAAGCGTGATATGTCCACTGAAGAAAATAATGTCCAAAATGCCAAACCCTTTCCCTATGATATTGTCAAAATGGCTCTCCCTACTGATGACCCTACATTGGGCCAGGAGAACGACGTGCAGGTGCTAGGTGACCATGACGACACTCCAACTGACGACCTTGTGGAAGAGCCGACGGCTAATCATGACTTGGACAAATCGCCCAACACGGCGTTGAGAGTGCAGGAGGCCATTCTCAAAGAGCTGGCCAATGAGGACGTGCACAAGGTGAGCTGCTACGACCAGGACGTGGAGCCCATGGACACGGAGCCAAAAGACCTGGCGGGTCACGCCACCACCACGCTGACGTTCGCTGACAGCATCGGCGAGGTGAAGGACGAGCAGCCCCCTGGGTGGTCCACAGCCACGACGGACATGAAGTTCGAGTACCTCCTCTACGGCCACCGCGAACAGCTCGCCTGCCAGATCTGTGGAAAGACCTTCATCGACGAGAACCGTTTGAGGAAACACGAAAAGCTGCACTCGGCTGAACGTCCGTTCATCTGTGAGATCTGCAGCAAAGCCTTCACTACACAGGCCCACCTAAAGGAGCACCTGAAGATCCACACAGGCTTCAAGCCCTACCGTTGCGATGTGTGTGGCAAGTCCTTCATCCGAGCGCCCGACCTTAAGAAGCATGAGCGAGTCCACAGTAACGAGCGTCCCTTCGGCTGCCAGATGTGCGACAAGGCCTTCAAGCACAAGTCCCACCTGAAGGACCACGAGAGGCGCCACAGGGGCGAGAAGCCATTCGTCTGCAGCTCATGCACCAAGGCCTTTGCCAAAGCCTCGGATCTAAAGAGACATGAGAACAACATGCACAGCGAGAGGAAGCAGATGCCGCCCAGCGCCCTGCAGACCGAGACTGAACAGCTGCAGGCAGCAGCCATGGCCGCTGAGGCCGAGCAACAACTGGAGTCCATAGCGTGCTCATAGCACACAACATTTGTACCTCACTTGTCATGGATAATATGAGAACAATCTGAGTTTTTTGATGATGTTTCATTTTGTATTTTCTTTAGGGAGGCCTAAATACTCCAATAATTAGCTAGATTTTATGTTGCGAATTTTTCTCGAGGACATAGTGAAGTAAGATAGGATTTGAATGCGTTCGTATATTTCTAGACTTATTTCACGTGATTTAGGTTTTCTCGCACTGTTCTGTGGTATGACATCATCATTTTCTTGATTATATTGTAAATGGTTAAAATATTTTGTTTTGGTAGGAATGATCATACCAAATGTGTTTGTGTAAATTTTATGGCAGCCTTATGGACAAAAATGCTCTGACTACTGCCTCTACCCGGTTTTGGTTGTCAATATATTAGTGCTGTTATACAGTACTGGTTTTATAATGAAAACTGGAAATAAAATGTTTGATTTGTAAAATGTATGAAAAAGAATGGTTACAAACCACGACATGTTTGACTGTTAAATATTCCATTGCATTACACACACACAACTCTTAGTGTAATTGACATGTACATTTAGCACATCAAAATATGTGTTGCTTTAATAAAAATGCTACCCTCAACTGCCAACAAATCATATCTTTGCATTTTTTTGGGAAATACATTGTAGCTATAATTTGCGCAGACTGGATTGACATGCAAGCATACAGTCTCAGTTGGTGGAGCGTTTGCACCGCCAGGGTTGTGGGTTCGATTCCCGGGACCAGCCAATAAGTTGGCTGTAAGTTGCTTTGGATAAAAGTGTCTGCTGAATGGCATGATTTATTATTATTATTATACACGGAGTATACAAAACATTATGAACACCTGCACTTTCCATGACATAGACTATCCAGGTGAAAGCTATGATCCCTTATTGATGCCACTTGTTAAATCCACTTCAATCAGTGTAGATGAAGGATTTTAAAGCCTTGAGACAATTGAGACATGGATTGTGTATGTGTGCCATTCAGGATGAATGGGCAAGACAAAATATTTAAGTGCCTTTGAAGGGGGTATGCTAGTAGGTGCCAGAAGCAGCAGTTTGTGTCAAGAAGCTCAACAATTTCCTGTGTGTATCAAGAACTCTGGGAAGCATTGGAGTCAACATGGGCCAGCATTCCTGTCGAACCCTTTCGATACCTTGTAGTCCATGCCCCGACGAATTGAGGCTGTTCTGTGGGCAAAATGTAAATTAGGAATGTGTTCTTAATGTTTTGTACACTGTGGATAATCAATGCTACTATTACTACTTGTATGTACATCAAGGGTATGCTATTATAGGCATATTCAGTCATTTGAAGATCTATTTGCTGCCCATGGTCAATTATTTTATATCTAAGCAAGTCTTACACAGACACTGTGTATTGGATTTTTATGCCTATCATTTATTTTTTGGGGTTGAGGCGCTGATTTGTTGTTGACCCTTGGTGTTCAAGCATGCGCAGTAGATTTATGTTGCTACTGTCAGGTGTGTGTTTGTAAATCGTGGAGTTGAGTTTAATCGGCTACATCAAGAGTAGCGTAATGGACGCGATTGAGAACAGGACAACTCTGTTTACAGGTAATGCGTGCAAATGCTTTCTGATATGTTGGATAATGTTTTTCTACCGAAACATAACTATTTTGACAATCTTATTAAAACGTTTATACAGCGAATTTCGATCTCTCCGTCAGTCAGTCAAAGCGTGATTAATTTTGTATTTTTATTGATCTACAAAGAACCATCCGTACGTAATTCGACATCGTTTGTGTTGATAATGGTCTGAATTGAAACATAATATCACGAACAAAACAATACTTGTCATTGACTAATTGTCAACGCTACATCTAAATTTGTACAGTCAAAACTGAGTGATGAAACTGGAAGACAATGAAGGGCATGGTGGAGCCAAAACATCCAGCAGGAAAAGAACAGCATCATAATCCAAGAGGTATGGGCGCCCTACAGACAGGCGTGTCCTGAATTTGCCCCGGCTTTACCACTGGTCATGGGTCAGATATGTTCAGGTTTTCATCCTGGGGTTGGGGCAGGGTAATATGATCCAAGATCTGATGGGTGTAACTTTGGTGATGTGTCATGGTGCTTATCTATCTCAATGACAAGTTAGTAGAATATTGCTTATCCATTAGGTAGGATTATTACAAACTGAAATGGTCCACACACACAGACAGTGTGGGAAGAAGGTGAAACAGTGTGTCTTCAACCTCAGGAGGCTGAAGAAATTTGGCCTGTCACCTAAAACCCTCACAAACTTTTACAGATGCCCAATTGAGAGCATCCTGGCGAGCTGTATCACCACCTGGTATGGCAACTGCACCGCCCACAACTGCAGGGCTCTCCAGAGGGTGGTGTGGTCTGCACAACGCATCACCGGGGGCAAACTACCTGCCCTCCAGGACACCTACAGCTCCCGATGTCACAGGAAGGCCAAAAAGATAATCAAGGACAACTACCACCCGAGCCACTGCCTGTTCACCCCGCTATCATCCAGAAGGCGAGGTCAGTACAGGTGCATCAAAGCTGGGACCGAGAGACTGAAAAACAGCTTCTATCTCAAGGCCATCAGACTGTTAAACAGCCATCACTAGCACAGAGGCGCTGCTGCCTACATACAGACTTGAAAATCACTGGCCACTTTAATAAATGGAACACTAGTCACTTTAATAATGCCACTTTAATAATGTTTACATATCTTGCATTACTTGTCTCATATGTATATACTGTATTCTATACTATCGTAATAATGTTTACATATCTTGCATTACCCATCTCATATATATATATATATATATATATATATATATATATATATATATATATATATATATATATATATATATATATATACACAGTGGGGAGAACAAGTATTTGATACACTGCCGATTTTGCAGGTTTTCCTACTTACAAATCATGTAGAGGTCTGTAATATTTATCATAGGTACACCTCAACTGTGAGAGACGGAATCTAAAACAAAAATCAAGAAAATCACATTGTATGATTTTTAAGTAATTAATTTGCATTTTATTGCATGACATAAGTATTTGATCACCTACCAACCAGTAAGAATTCCGGCTCTCACAGACCTGTTAGTTTTTCTTTAAGAAGCCCTCCTGTTCTCCACTCACTACCTGTATTAACTGCACCTGTTTGAACTCGTTACCTGTATAAAAGACACCTGTCCACACACTCAATCAAACAGACTCCAACCTCTCCACAATGGCCAAGAACAGAGAGCTGTGTAAGGACATCAGGGATAAAATTGTAGACCTGCACAAGGCTGGGATGGGCTACAGGACAATAGGCAAGCAGCTTGATGAGAAGGCAACAACTGTTGGCGCAATTATTAGAAAATAGAAGAAGTTCAAGATGATGGTCAATCACCCTCGGTCTGAGGCTCCATGCAAGATCTCACCTCGTGGGGCATCAATGATCATGAGGAAGGTGAGGGATCAGCCCAGAACTACACGGCAGGACCTGGTCAATGACCTGAAGAGAGCTGGGACCACAGTCTCAAAGAAAACCATTAGTAACACACTATGCCGTCATGAATTAAAATCCTGCAGTGCACGCAAGGTCCCCCTGCTCAAGCCAGCGCATATCCAGGCCCGTCTGAAGTTTGCCAATGACCATCTGGATGATCCAGAGGAGGAATGGGAGCAGGTCATGTGGTCTGATGAGACAAAAATAGAGATTTTTGGTCTAAACTCCACTCGCCGTGTTTGGAGGAAGAAGAAGGATGAGTACAACCCCAAGAACACCATCCCAACCGTGAAGCATGGAGGTGGAAACATCATTCTTTGGGGATGCTTTTCTGCAAAGGGGACAGGACGACTGCACCGTATTGAGGGGAGGATGGATGGGGCCATGTATCGCGAGATCTTGGCCAACAACCTCCTTCCCTCATAAAGAGCATTGAAGATGGGTTGTGGCTGGGTCTTCCAGCATGACAACGACCTGAAACACACAGCCAGGGCAACTAAGGAGTGGCTCCGTAAGAAGCATCTCAAGGTCCTGGAGTGGCCTAGCCAGTCTCCAGACCTGAACCCAATAGAAAATCTTTGGAGGGAGCTGATAGTCCGTATTGTCCAGCGACAGCCCCGAAATCTGGAGAAGGTCTGTATGGAGGAGTGGGCCAAAATCCCTGCTGCAGTGTGTGCAAACCTGGTCAAGACCTACAGGAATAGTATGATCTCTGTAATTGCAAACAAAGGTTTCTGTACCAAATATTAAGTTCTGCTTTTCTGATGTATCAAATACTTATGTCATGCAATAAAATGCAAATTAATTACTTAAAAATCATACAATGTGATTTTCTGGATTTTTGTTTTAGATTCCGTCTCTCACAGTTGAAGTGTACCTATGATAAAAATTACAGACCTCTACATGCTTTGTAAGTAGGAAAACCTGCAAAATCGGTAGTGTATCAAATACTTGTTCTCCCCACTGTATATACTTTATTCTATACTATCTATTGCATCTTAGCCTATGCTGCTCTGACAATGACATTGCTCATCCATATATTTATATATTCTTATTCCATTCCTTTACTTAGATTTGTGTGTACTAGATATTTGTTGTGGAACGGTTAGATATTACTTGCTAGATATTACTGCACTGTCGGAACTAGAAGCACAAGCATTTCGCTACACTCGCAAAAACATCTGCTAACCATGTGTATGTGACCAATACATGTTATTTTATTTTATTTTGTATTTTATTTATTATTGTGAAAAGTCACACTTCCCAATGGTCCAACGCAGGAAGAGGAGTAAGAATGGGGAAAAAGGACAAGCAAGAGGAAACGGAGGGGAAGCACAAGGTAACATGGACCAGTCACTTCACTTATGCATACACACACACACACACACATCTGATGGTTATTTGATTTTATAGGCGAATCACTCCAGTTCTTAATACCCTTGTAAACCTCTGCAGGAGCCGAAGATCACAAGGTGAGCATGGACAGATGAGTCTATTCAGAAACATTTACATACAGGGTTTATGTGAAAGCAACCTTAATTACAATCTCCAATTTACATGTCTTCATTCACAATGAAGGGTGTAGTATAATTGTCCAATGTGTTCTGTTTCATTATGTAAGTCAATGGTCACCTTATATAAATTGCCTCAATTAGGCAATGCTTCCAGCTTAGCAATCATCTGATTTTATCTTGTTTTAACAATGCATTTGTGGGTTTATTTGTGAGTGTGAGACTTCTTCCGTCTTTCCTTTATCAGTTCGGGGGAATTTAAAAGCTGCCTTGGGGAGCGGCCATGTAGATGTGGAGACCAACAGTGTAGGCATGATATACACAGGCCCAATTATTGCATATCCCTGTATTAGCAGAAAATTGTAGATAATGTTTATTCATGAGGTTTCTCTGTCTTTCTCTCACAGGATGCATCACCACCTTCTGGAAAGAAGTATGTTTTTCTTCTAATGCTGAAATGATTCACACCAAAAGTAAAGTTTAACTTCAATGTAAACAGAGAGTAAGATACAGTATGTTGGTGATGATGAGGTTTTCTTTATTGGCAGTGACATTGACTTAAACAACAATATATCTGCCAAGGACAAGGAATCAGATGGGAGAAAAGGGATACAGGAAATGTTTTAGCTTGAATATTTTGTGATTGTTGATGTTTTGCTTGCCTTGTGTCATTTCTCACCCATTGTTATGTCAATGTAGCGCAAATCTAGAAGTAGCAAAAAGAGACACCACGGGACGGACGAGGAGAAGTTGAGCAAAAATAAGTTTGTAAACTAACAGGTGAACAGCATTAATTGTCAAGTTCCACATTAAAAATTATTCATACTCTGTGTATGGGTGTTGCTATACTCTAGTGCAGTGGTTCCCAATTATTTTTTATTTTTTGAAGGAACTCAGTCCGGCTTTCAACTTACTCTTGAAAGTTGTAATAGTAGAATGCACAAGGTGCAATTTTGAAATTGGGTAGTGCATCATCAGTTTTCCTCTTGTTATGTCAGTCATTGCATACCTTAGAGAGCGATTTGTAACTTGTCAGAAATGTCCAGATCAGTTTGCCCATGTCAGCTAAAGTTTTTTAGCCCGTAGATTTTGTTGTAATGTTTGAGTCACTCATATCACATGAATACACATTAGACATGGCAAAATGTTTAGAACTGAAGGAAATAAGTTTTAAACTTGCAAAAATGTCTCTCCACCAAGAAGAGGGGTGTGAACAGTTTGTGTCATGAACAGTGCTTGTTTCCATAGAAATAGACATGGAGCTCTTTTTAAAAGCATTTGTTGCTGTCCACTAAATACTGAACAAAAATATAAACGCAACATGTAAAGTGTGGGTCCCATGTTTCATGAGCTGAAATAAAAGATCCCAGAAATTTTCCATTTGCACAAAAAGCTTATTTATCTCAAATGTTGTGCACCATTTTTTTTTTTTACATCCCTGTTAGTGAGCATTTATCATTTGCCAAGATAATCCATCCACTTGACAGGTGTGGCAAATCAAGATGCTGATTAAACAGCATGATCATTACACAGGTGCACCTTGTGCTGGGGACAAAAGGCCACTCTAAAATGTGCAGTTTTGTCACACAACACAATGCCACAGTCTCAAGTTTTGAGGGTGCGTGCAATTGTCATGCTGACTGCAGGAATATCCACCAGAGCTGTTTCCAGATAATTAAATGTTCTGAAACAAAGCTGAAAATGTCCCAGTTCTTCCATGGCCTGCATACTCACCAGACATGTCACCCATTGAGCATATTTGGTATGCTCTGGATCGACGTGTATGACAGCATGTTCCAGTTCCTGAAAATATCCAGCAACTTCGTACAGCCATTGAGGAGGAGTGGGACAACATTCCACACGCCACAATCAACAGCCTGATCAACTCTATGCGAAGGAGATGTCGCGCTGCAAGAGGCAAATGGTGGTCAAACCAGATACTGACTGGTCTTCTGACCCATACCCCTACCTTTTTTTTCTGTGAACAACAGATGATGTTCTGTATTCCCAGTGATGTGAAATCCATAGATTAGGACCTAATGAATATATTTCAATTGACTGATTTCCTTATATGAACTGTAGCTCAATAAAATCTTTGAAATTGTTGCATGTTGCGTTTATATTTTTGTTCAGTATAGTTTGCATTTGAAAGTCATTCCAAAAGTCTCTCTTATTTTATTTTCTCCGTAGTTCCGAAAGCAACTGTAAAATGGTATACCTACAGATGACAATAAAAAAAATCTGATGTGAAAAAGGAAAATGCCAAAAATGAGAGGGAGAAAAAAAGACCGAAGGAAGGAGACCGAAGGAAAAGAGGAATATAAAAGAAGAAAAATAAAAAGGATGGTGAAGAGGATGGGAAAAATCTGAAATGCAAGAGCGTAACAAAACAAGAGCACAGTAAATATAAATGGTAATTGCACAATTATTTACTCTATATTTCATTTACTGGTCAAGTATCATATTTGTCTGAATTGTCTTTTGATATTCTCTGGGAGTTATTTTTTTAAATGTGATTTTAGAACTGTTTCCCCCCTGTTATAGTCGTTGGCATAATGATATTACACTCAATGTAGCCGGAATGATTAACAACATTGTTTGTTTCTAGGGGGACAGTATTAATAGTTGCACACACGTGTGATGTTATGAATGTCCTTGGTGTTTGTGAATATCATTCATTCTTGCTAATCTGGAATGAACTAATACTGTAATGTTTTTGCCAAATTGATCTATCAGTCGAATACATTTAATAGAAGCTGTTCCGTTCTTTACTCATTACGATTTTACCGATTTCTGTAAAGATTAACAATGAGGTCAAATCCAGGTGAGTAAACGTTAGCTAGCTGGCTAATATATCCCAACTGGCCGCAGATGGCGCTATTATTCATTTTCCGTTATGACAAACGAATAATAGCACCAACTGCCGGCCGGTTGGGCTAGCTGGCTAATAGCTAATCCAAAACCACATATAAATTAGTGTAAGTGTCTTTGTCAAAACAGTGCAGAAAGCCAGGATAATGCCATTCCGGAAGAATAATTCTAGCTAGCTAACTAGCCACACATTGTCAATGTAAAGGGGTAACATTAGGTAGCAAGCTACTTTAGCTAGATTTGGCCTGGCAGCTAGAGGTGTTGTATTTTATCTTTATTGTATCTATCACTTGCATTGGCTTTTAAACCTGCATAAACATTTGATGGCTTTCTGTGCTGTAACGAAATAGTGATATGCTTGTCAGGTGGGAGGTAGGTCATTCCAACAATGGGAAGACATGGACAACGTTGGAGCACAATGGTCCACTCTTCCCACCAGAATAAGAACCGTTACCCAATATCTTTCTTTTATAATGGTGAGTTACCACCGTATATACACACACACACAGAGGATGTGTTACTCACTAACCCTCATAGTTTTCCTGTCTCGTGTTAGGTCTGATTTGCTATAAAACTAAGTTTGGCTGCTGAGGAAGTAGCCTCGTTTTACGCCAAGATGCTGGACCATGAGTACACAACAAAGAGTGCCTTCCAAGATAACTTATTTACAGACAGGAGAGCGGTTAGTACCACTGATTTAAATCTAAAAAACCAGCCAGAGACTGATTAAACAGGAAATGACAGGAGGAGAGGGAGCAGAGGAAGAAGCTGTCAGTGTGATTTCTCGCACATCAACAAATAATTTCTGGAGAAGAAGAAAGCATGACAAAAGAACAGAAACAAACTAAATATTAAGATTTGAAATATATTTTTAGGGGGAGCAATAACATTGCAACCATTGTGGAAACCTTAGTTTTTCCCTCTTTATCAGGTTCTGAAGGAGAATAATAATAATAATAATAATAATAATAATAACAGAGGTGTGTGGCTTTTGTGTGCTGGATGGCCACAGGGAGAAGATTGGTAACTTCTAGGTGGAGCCCCCAGGGCTTTTCCGCGGGCGGGGAGAACACCCCAAAATGGACACGCTGAAAGTGAGCATCCAGCCGGAAGACATCACCATCAACATGCAGCAAGTGAGGGGGCCAGTAGAGCATACAGAACAAACAATCTCCCTATAAGTTTATGCTGCTCCCAAAAGTGAATTAGTGGTGTAAAGGCAATAAGCTTGAAATAAAGTGTTTTGGTTGCTTTTCCAGAGGCGCTAAGATACCAGTGGCCCCTAAGGGCGACAAGTGGAGGAAGGTGAAGCATGAAGACAGTGACCTGGGTGGAGGACCGGGAGATGAAGACCAGACAGAGAGGAGTGGCACTCTACTTAATAGACAAGGTACAGACCTCACAACTATCCTCAGTGTGGTTAACAAAGATCAAGCCTGTTCACTTAACCTTAAACACATATTGTAGAACACTCATATGTACGCACATGTACAGTGTACATCTCCCTCACCAACGTGTGTGTGTCTTTGTGTGCATGTAGCTGGCCCTGCGAGCAGGGAGTGAGAAGGAGGAGAATGAGACGGCGAACTCGGTGGGTTGCTGCTCTCTGAGAGTGGGACACATCACCCTCCACCAGCAGAAGGGAGGCCAGGAGTTCATGGTGGAGTTTGACTTCCTGGGCAAAGACTCCATCCGCTACTATAACGAGGTGCCTGTGTAGGGCAGGGTGAGCAGCACTGTCTAGCAACTGTTCTATCGCCATTCCTCTGTAGTATGTGTTGTTAAGCAGGGCTTAAACATCCATCTAATGTACACAGCCATATTGACTTGTACACAGGTTTTCAAGAACCTGAAGATATTCATGGAAAACAAGGAGCCTGACGATGACGTGTTTGATAGAATAAACGTAAGTTGAAGACCCAGTGTACCTGGTTATTTCATGTTTATGTCATGCTTAGCAAATGCTGGAAAATGAGTGTAACCAAAGAACGACTAGCTATGTGGTTCACACAGTATGCTTATCTATCTCAGCAGATACGGTTAAACTTGATTGTTGTTTGTTCTTAGACCACCTACTTGAACAAGCATTTGAACCAGTCCATGCTGGGATTGACAGCCAAGAACCTTCAACGCTTCCACCACTCTGCAAGAGCAGCTCAACAAGCTCACCTCTGGTTAGTCCACTTTCTATACCAACATCAGTACACTCAGTGCAGGTTTTTGAAGATCTAGTTTACAATAGTTGACAAGAATTCTCAGCTCTTCTCTGTGACATACGTGACCCTCGTTGGTCTTACTTTGAACATGGCATTTGCGTTCTTTTTTACTCAAATGTGCTCTCTGTGTCATAACTATATGAATCTCTGAAACATGCAGATTTATAGTAAGAGTACACTAATGAAAGATATGCATGTTTTCCTCCTCAGCTGACATGAGTCTTCTGTCCTATAACCGAGCCAACAGAGCTGTGGCCATTCTCTGTAACCACCAGAGGGCAGCACCCAATACCGTTGAGAAATCCATGCAGGGCAAGGTAACAGGAATGTTTGCGTTCTCCGATTTATGTAGAAGCTAGTGCCATTTTAAAATACTCTATGCCTCTTTTGCAATATTGTGTCTAATGGAGATTATATATACAGTACCAGTTAAAAGTTTGGACACCTTTATTTCTACTATTTTCTACATTGTAGAAAAAGAGAGAAGACATCAAAACCATGAAATAACACATATGGAATCATGTAGTAACCAACAAAGTGTTAAACAAATCAAAATATATTTTATATTTGAGATTCTTCAAAGTAGCCACCCTTTGCCTTGATGACAGCTTTGCACACTATTGGCATTCTCTCAACCAGCTTCATGAGGTAGTCACCTGGAATGCATTTAAATTAAAAGGTGTGCCTTCTTAAAAGTTAATTTGTGGAATTTATTTCCGTCTTAATGCATTTGAGCCAATCAGTTGTATATACAGAATATAGCCCTATTTGGTAAAAGACAATGTCCATAATATGGCAAGAACAGCTCAAATAAGCAAAGAGAAACGACAGTCCATCATTACTTTAAGACATGAAGGTCAGTCAATACGGAACATTTCAAGAACTTTTAAAGTTTCTTCAAGTGAAGTGGCAAATACCATCAAGAACTATGATGAAACTGGCTCTCATGAGGGCTGCCAAAGGAATGGAAGACCCAGAGTTAGCTAAGTTCATTAGAGTTACCAGCCTCAGAAATTGCAGCCCAAATAAATGCTTCACAGAGTTCAAGTAACAGACACATCTCAACATCAACTGTTCAGAGGGGACTGTGTGAATCAGACCTTCATAGTCGAAACCACTACTAAAGGACACCAATAATAAGAAGAGACCTGCTTGGGCCAAGAAACACGAGCAATGGACATTATTTGAGGTTTTTGGTTCAAACCGCCGTCTCTTTTTGAGACGCGGTGTAGGTGAACGGATGATCTCCGCATGTGTATTTCCCACCGTAAAGCATGGAGGAGGAGGTGTTATGGTGTGGGGGTGCTTTGCTGGTGACACATTCAAGGCGCACTTAACCAGCATGGCTACCACAGCATTCTGCAGCAATACGCCATCCCATCTGGTTTGGGCTTAGTGCGACTATCATTGGTTTTTCAACAGGACAATGACCCAACACACCTCCAGGCTGTGTAAGGGCAATTTTACCAAGAAGGAGAGTGATGGAGTGCTGCATCAGATGACCTGGCCTCCAGAATCCCCCGACCTCAACCCAATTGAGATGGTTTGGGATGAGTCGGACCGCAGAGTGAAGGAAAAGCAGCCAACAAGTGCTCAGCATATGTGGGAACTCCTTCAAGACTGTTGGATAAGCATTCCAGGTGAAGCTAGTTGAGAGAATGCCAAGAGTGTGCAAAGTCATCAAGGCAAATGGTGGCTATTTGAAGGATCTCAAATATATAATATATTTTGATTTGTTTAACACTATTTTGGTTACTACATTATTCCATATGTGTTATTTCATAGTTTTGATGTCTTCACTATTATTCTACAATGTAAAAATAAAGAAAAACCCTTGAATAAGTAGGTGTGTCCAAACTTTTGACAGGTACTGTATATATACATACATATACATACAGTTGAAGTCGGAAGTTTACATACACCTTAGCCAAATACATTTCAACTCAGTTTTTCACAATTCCTGACATTTAATCCTAGTAAAAATTATCTGTCTTAGGTCAGTTAGTATCACCACTTTTTTTTAAGAATGTGAAATGTCAGAATAATAATTATTCGGCTTGCAAGCCAGCCCCTTTTTCCTCCAAACATAACGATGGTCATTATGGGCAAACAGTTCTATTTTTGTTTCATCAGACCAGAGGACATTTCTCCCAAAAAGTACGATCTTTGTCCCCATGTACAGTTGCAAACCGTAGTCTGGCTTTTTTATGGCGGTTTTGGAGCAGTGGCTTCTTCCTTGCTGAGTGGCCTTTCAGGTTATGTCGATATAGGACTTGTTTTACTGTGGATATAGATACTTTTGTACCTGTTTCCTCCAGCATCTTCACAAGGTCCGTTGCTGTTGTTCTGGGATTGATTTGCACTTTTCGCACCAAAGTACGTTCATCTCTAGGAGACAGAACGCGTCTCCTTCCTGAGCGGTATGACGGCTGCGTGGTCCCATGGTGTTTATACTTGCGTACTATTGTTTGTACAGATGAACGTGGTACCTTCAGGCATTTGGAAATTGCTCCCAAGGATGAAACAGACTTGTGGAGGTCTACAATATTTTTTCTGAAGTCTTGGCTGATTTCTTTTGATTTTCCCATGATGTCAAGCAAATAGGCACTGAGTTTGAAGGTAGGCCTTGAAATACATCCACAGGTACACCTCCAATTGACTAAAATGATGTCAATTTGTCATGAGCCTCTCACTCCACCGGGTTACCACCTTAATTTTCTTCCACTCTGCTCACCACTCTCTCTACTCAGCCTAACTAGCTCCACCTGTCCCTGCTCTGCTCTGCTCTAATTACTCTGCCAGCTGCGCTGCATTACCCACTACCTCTCCCAGTATTTAAGGCCCTGTCTTTCAGCTCTCCGGTGTCAGATCGTCTGCAAAGCTCACTCCCGGAACCTGTTTGCTCGCGCTTCTGGCTCACCCTGGTTTTGTGACCCCGGACCTGCCTGATTTTTGGATACTCTTCTGCCCCAGGAGATCCAGACCTGCTTCTGCCATTACGACTCCTGACTACTCTTCTATCCCGGTAACTCTGACCAGCCTTCTGCCTTGCTACTACGTATTTTGGATTTCCCTTGAACTGTACTGCTGCCTTGTTTCATTCCGCCCTGTGGTGTCTGTGTCTCCCCCCCCCCAGGACTTCTGGACCACCCACCACCGGCTTCATAGGACGCATCGCTGCCACTGGGGGAGGCACAGACCCAGCACATTGGACGGGATCCCTGTTACCCCTGGAGCCTTCATTCACTCCCTACTTCCCTTTTCCCTTAAGTTTTAATAAACTTTCTGGTGTGACGCAATTGTGGTCCTCTGGTCGTCTGTCTGAACCGTGACAGTACGATCTGACCATTATGGACTCAGCGCACACTTTTCCCGACATGGAACCCGATGAGCATGAGCAGCAGTTCCAGCAGCAGCAACAACAACTCGCCATGATCATTCAACTCCTCACCAACCTTACCCCAGCCAGTCTGCCCACCAGCCCTGCCCCCGAGTTACCTGCCCCGGTCATTGCAGCCGCTGCTCCGGAACCCAAGATTGGAAACCCCGAGCGGTTCAACGGCGATTCAACCCAGGTCCGGCCATTCCTGACTAGCTGCCGACTTCAGTTCTCCTTGCAGCCAAGGACCTTCGCCACGGAGGGGGCTAAAGTTGGGTATGCCATCACTCACCTGACGGGCCGAGCTCGACTCTGGGGAACAGCAGAGTTCGAACGTCAAACCCCCGCATGTGCAACCTTCGACCTGTTTGCTGAGGAGATGCTGAAGGTGTTTGACCTGGATTCACCAACCGCAGAGGCGTCTCGTGAACTGTTCAGTATTCGACAAGGCAGACGTACAGTCGCAGACCATTCCATCGACTTCCGAACCCTGGCTAGACGAAGTTCTTGGAACACACCATCGTTGGTGGACGCGTTCTTCCATAGTTTGGCTGACTATATCAAGGACGAGTTGGTCTCCCATGAACTGCCTTCCACTCTTGATGAAGCCATCGCACTGACTGTCAGGATCGACAGAAGGATACAGACCCGTCGTCGTGAGAGGGGGCGCCAAGGTCCACCTACTACCGGCATTCGGAGAGATCCGACTGGGCTCCTGTCATCTACTGCCACTCACCCAGGTCAGCTTGATCAGTCTGAGCCTATGGAGATTGGGCGAGCCTCTCTCACTCCTGCAGAGCGCCAGCGCCGCTTCACTTCAAACCTCTGCCTCTATTGTGGAGGTGATGGACATCGTGTGGTAACCTGCCCTTTAAAGGGCCGAAGCTCACCGGGCATAGGGGGAGTCCGGTTGAGTTCAATGACCATCCAGTCCTCCGACCGCAAACCCCTGCTGCAAGTTCACCTCCGCCTCTCTGACTCAACTCACACCCTGGCTGCTCTGGTGGATTCTGGCGCCGAAGCCAACATAATGGACATCAAGCTGGCACGCCAACTGGGACTGGAGAACCTCCGTTTGACACCTCCTATTCCTGCCCGGGCACTGGACGGACACTTACTCGGATCGGTCACTCATGTCACGGCCCCGGTCTCGATGGGTCTGTCCGGAAACCATCAAGAAACTATCCAGTTTCACCTGCTCCCCTCTCCAGGCCAACCCCTCATCCTGGGTTACCCATGGCTCCGCCGGCACAACCCTCAGCTCGACTGGGTGACCGGGGTGATCAGGGAGTGGGGAGAGGACTGCCACCGAACCTGCCTGCTTGCTGCTGCACTACCCCCTCGGCCAGTACCTACTAACTCCGCTCCTGACCTCTCCAATGTCCCAGAATGCTACCATGGTCTCAGAGAGGTGTTTAACAAAGCAAGAGCCACATCTCTGCCCCCTCACCGACCGTACGACTGTGCCATCGACCTCCTCCCTGGAACAGCCCCTCCAAAGGGTCGTCTTTATTCGTTGTCTGCTCCTGAAAGAAAGTCCATGGAGGACTACATCAATGGCTCTCTGTCCGCAGGATTAATCCGTTCATCTTCATCTCCTGCTGGTGCTGGTTTCTTCTTTGTGGGGAAGAAGGACGGATCTCTTCGCCCCTGCATCGACTACAGGGGACTCAACGACATCACAGTGAAAAACCGTTACCCTCTGCCTCTGCTCACCTCTGCTTTTGAGTTGCTCCAGGGAGCCACTGTTTTTACCAAGTTGGATCTCAGAAACGCTTACCACCTAGTGCGGATCCGGGAGGGAGATGAATGGAAAACCGCATTCAATACACCAACAGGCCACTACGAGTATCTGGTTATGCCTTTTGGCCTCACCAATGCTCCTGCTGTGTTCCAGGCTCTAGTGAATGATGTACTGCGGGACATGTTAAACAAGTTTGTCTTCGTTTACCTGGATGACATCTTAATCTACTCCAGAAA